GATATATTCAGTAGTTTTCTTGTAATTTAAGTTTGAATGTAAATTTCATCACTTTTAAATTTCAACCTTCGTGTGTTAAGTTGATTTGTATTGAAATGAGACGAGATAGAGAAAAATGTTTTATATAAAAAGTTGGCGAATTTCTCAATCTTTAAAATGATATAGGTTTTACGTATTTTAATTGCAGCCAGTTGACAGAATCAGTCCGAGAACGGGAGGCAGCGTCGGGCGCAAGAGCGCTCGCGGCGCGGATCCGCGAGAACAGTTAGTCAAGTCAACCTGTGTTTTTAGGGAGGGGAAATTAGTAAAAAGCTGATTTTTTGCCCATCGACTACTACCATTTAGACAAGAGTTTAGACAAAAGTCCCCGCCCCTAACCCTCTTGCTTCCCCCCCTGTGCCCCCCTAAACATATAAAGTGTAAGGGTTTCGTAAATCACGTTTTCCTCGATTGTTAAACGAAATATTGAATTGCAATTAGTTTTATTGTCATTGTTATAAAATTTCCTACAATCATGTTCAGTTAACTTTCGTCGTAGCTGTTACCTTTTGTTCATTATTTGTATACAAATGTAAAGATTTATATATTTTTGAACATATAATTTTATTTTTGTTGCCTCAACTTTTTTCGCTGACGTTTTATGAAAATATGTTTTGGGCAAAAGTTGTAGCTGCTTTCATTAGCTTTAATATTATGTAAAATAGTACTTACTATAATGAAAATTCTGCAAGATTTTGCCGGTGTAATGCAGTATGTGTACTCAATCAGTGGGTTTGGTCTTGGTGGGGCTGGCACGAAATACTATCATTGTTGTAATGTATAGAATTTGTTTTTAAATTAAGATACACTATTGTATTATCCTAGAAAAAAACAATCGAAATCCCCTTGTAAAGTTAATAACATTTAAAGTCATTTTTTTATTCATTTAAAAATTTTATTTAGTTTATCATTTAAAAAACATGTAACTATTTTTTTAGGTATGTAGTATTTTTAAAGAATGTTATCTTTAAACAAAGATCTGGTTAAAAATGTAGCATACATCGAATTGCAAATGTTTTATTCCCTTTGTAATAACATTTCCTACAATCATGTCCAGTTAAATAAATCTCGTCGTAACTGTTACCGTTTGTTTGTTATCCGTAGAATAATGTAAGGATAAATATTTATTTACTCGTACAGTAGAACCTCTTTAATCCGAACCCCCGTAATCCGAACATCCACTAATCCAAACCCCTCATTGCTGTACTCTATACACAGTACAGCAGTTCTTTAATGTATACTGTATTTAATTTACAGTACTTTTTATTCACCATGTTTACTACTGTATTAAATTACCACTGTATTTTACTTTATAAAACATTTTTTCACTTTTCCCAAAATAATTTTTATCAATTTTAGCCATGTTTTAGCTATTGCTATGTAAAAACAACAACATGTTCTGTAATCCGAACTATTCAATAGTCCGAACTACCCCTGGTCCCAATTAGTTCGGATTAAAGAGGTTCTACTGTAATTTTATTTTGTTGCAAAACTTTTAACACCGTCATTTTATGAAAGCATTTTTCAAACAAAATTGTAGCTGCTATCAGCTTTAAAATGATATATTGAAACGTGTACTTTATGGTTATGTAATACCAGATATTAACCGTGAAGGGACCGTGTGCACTATTTTTATGTGGCGCTCCATAGCTGATCCAATACTAATAGCTAATCCTTAGCTGATTTAAGTTTATACTATTATAACTTTATAAATTTAATTTTACTTGAATTATTTTACGTAAACACTGTACTGTATAATGCTTCAAGACTACTATATATTCGTATTTTATTTTTTGAAAAATTGTAAATTTTGTATATATTGTGGAAATAAAACTGATTTGATTTGATTTGATTCGTTACCGCACTCGTGCAAGACGTTTCTACCCATTTTTTATTTTCTCGATTTTTTAAATTTTAAGACTCCAAAAAAAAACAATAGGAAAGCATTCGATTGAGTTCATACTGTAATTTAACTACTAAACAAACTATAAGTAAATGTATTGAAAATAGGAAAAATGATTGGGCTGATTAAGTTAGGTCGAGGCTTGAATGATTTGTTTACCTTGTTATGCTAGGTTTTTGAAACAACACATTCACACCAATACGTGTGTAGGTCGTGGTAGACCAGTTAACGATTTATTAAAAGAATAATTCATAAAAGTTTGCGATTTTATTGAGGAAAATGGTGATTGCCAGCATAGTATTCCTAACCTTTTGCAATTGATGAAAAATATATCAGGCAGAGACCAGGTTTATGAAACGAAGTACTTCAAAACATTATTACTTAATCACTTGGTGAAAGACTTCTTATTAGACTAAGAACATAAAAATAAATCCTCCATAGTTTGTTTAAGAGATAGGGTGGACAAGATTATTTCTCAAACTTGGTACTCTTAAAATAAAAGGCATAATGGTGATAAGATTATAAGAGAATTGTTTATACAGCTGCGGCTTTGATAAGACAAGAAATTAAAAACCGAGTGTATGATGAGTCGTCTTACCCCAGTGTTGAAAATATAAGATATGTTGGAAAAGAAGTTGTAAGGGGAAATTTTGAATTCGATGTATGAGTAATTCTTAACTTCAAATCATGATAATGCAATTATTTTGTTCAAAAATAACATCCTATAAAATTATTACGTACATATAAAATGATTTTATGCTTTTAAATTACAAAGGATAGAAATAAATTGTATTAACTGTACATGGGTTTTGTTTCGGTTGTTCTTTTAGCAAATTCCTCATAGGGAATAAACTATTACTGTAGGTCTCATGGTAAGACCTAGACCCGGGCCCGATTTAGTTTTTCATTTTGAAGCCCTCAGAGGCCGAAAACACCCTCCACCGTTAAAATTCATAAATAAAATGTAAAACTTAAAATCAAATATCTATATATACTATCACTTTATATATATATAGATACATGAGTCAGTTAGCGTGATAACTCAAACAAAAATGATCCGATTTGATGAAATTTGGTACAAATATATCAATTTACGTCCATTCGAACGAATTTGTGAACCAGCATGGTTAGACTATGGGAATAGGGTTTGATAAGGGTTTTTTATGGGGTAAACGTCGGTTATTCCCATTTCCCCCCTAAAACCACAAACTATTACAATTTCTTTCCAAACCGTTTTGTAGAGCTTAAAAAATAAATAATTTTGTATATTGGTGCAACGTTAAACGCCTAACAATTACGGACATTATTCATAAAAATTAAGTTTTAAAATTCCCATTTTATTCTTTTGGACGATAAAAAAACTGTTGTAGTCTGCTTGTTTATAAATATATTTTAATTAGATTTATTTATTTCATAAAATGCTATCAACATATCGATAAAAGAACACACTTCAATACCTTGGCTGTAGCAGCAAACCTAAGTATTCATGAAAATAATCTGACCAGGAAATAATTCTGACGATTTTAAGGGAATGTTTGAGTAAATATCCAGCCAGGTAAATGAAAATTTGCTTAGTCGCAGGTTTGCTGCGGTGGGGAATGGAGATAATGCATTAGTATACATTAAGTAAAAAAAAAAAACACTCTTCATATTACAACAATGATAGTATTGCAACGCCGCGCCAGCCCAACTTAGCTCACTGATTGAGTACGCATACTCCATTACACCGGCTGAATCTCGCAGGATTCTCATTAAAGTAAGTACTATTATATATCATTTTAAAGCTAATGAAAGCAGCTACAACTTTTGTTTTAAACATATTTTCATAAAACGTCAGCGGAAAAAGTTAAGGCAACAAAAATAAAATTATATGTTCAAAAATATATAAATCTTTACATTTGTGTACAAATAATGAACAAAAGATAACAGCTACGACGAAAGTTAACTGAACATGATTGTAGGAAATTTTATAACAAAGACAATAAAACTAATTGCAATTCAATATGTCGTTTAACAATCGAGAAAAACGTGATTTACGAAACCCTTACACTTTATATGTTTAGGGGGGCACAGGGGGGAAAGCAAGAGGGGTAGGGGCGGGGACTTTTGGCTGAACACTAGTCTAACTGACAATAGTCGATGGGCCAAAAATCAGCCTTTCACTAATTACTTCCGACACAATCCCTTTATTGACTGGGCTAAGGAGCAGCCCTTTGGAAATCAGCCTGTGGGGCAGAGCCCTTTGGAAATTCGTCCATATCAATACTTTTCGGCAAATCTACACACTCTAAGCTTCATTTTGATGTGCCACATGCCTATATTTTTATTTGGTAAATGGCCTTAACCGTTTACATAACATTTGATTGTATCACTTTAATAATAGGCTATAATTGATTTGTTTTGATTTGATTGTTATTGTTTATATATTTTTTTCTAAATGGTAAAATGGTGTGTGCAATCTGGATGACGTCAACATATGACGGGAATAGCACATGTTTGTCTTTTCCTTCCACCATGTATCCAACCAATCAACCATATGGCAAACATAACAACACGATAAGCAGCAAAAAAGTGGTTATCACAAAATATTTTTAATCCACTCATCTCTATGAATTCTATGATTCAGCGGATCTAAAGAACAGCACCATTCTCTTCTGCCTGTCCTCTTCCCTTTGCAAAGCACGGTTATAAAATAGGCAGCTGCTCCTACCGTACTTATTTATCCATGGCAAACATTAAGTTAGGCTATCTTTCCATAACCCAGGCCTAAGTTTTGAGTTTCCATTACCCACCCTAACCAAAACAATATGTACAGTAATTCAGAAAAATATTTGGATTAACATTGTTTGTTTTGGGCTTTTATAACTTGTTTTATATTGTTATGAAATTAATAATTATAAAATGAGATAGTAAATAAGTATTACCAACATTCTTCAGCTCTAGGAATAGGAAAGGATGATATTTCCACTGGTTATAAGGATAACGTAAGGAACCATGCAATCAATGTACATTTGGAAAATAAATAATACGCAGTAAAGGTTTTTATTGATGGCTGAATTCTTACAATATATGAAACAACGATGTATATAATGTAGATTGATTTTTTTTAAACAGCCTATCAGTTAAATGAAGATAACAGCAACATCTGATTCAATAAAGTAAAGAGAACAGGGATCCAACAACAGCTTGTTTTGTTGTTAATCAGTGTTTCTCTTATTACATAGAGTTCTGCTATGTTGCCTTAAAACACCTTGTATTTTCATGTACTCTATGCTCTTTGAGCTTGAGAAAACAACATGATGATTTGTATTCACAATAAATTCTCAATAACAATAAACTTCATAGATAACTACGAAACAATGCATGTCGGTTAATGAGAAAGTAAAGAGAACAAGGATACCAACAAAGGGTGTCCCACTTAAGGTGTCTCAAATTGATTATGGAAAAACGGCTTAACGTACAAGGATAAAATGAAATTATTACCCGCTAAATCAACCCCAAGGAATAAAGTTAAAAATTTTGAAATTCTTACTAGTGACCCTCAGTTTATGGCACACCCTTTATCGGGAAAAAATATTTTTACATTATTCCTTGGGGCTGATTTAGCGGGAAATAATTTGATTTCGTCCTTGTATGTTGAGCCGTTTTTCCGTAATCAATGTGATACACTTTACATGGGACACTCTGTATAAGCTTGTTTCGTCTAAAAAGTCTCTCATGGTAATTGGTACTTGTATACTTTGGGTTGTGTTTATGTATATAAAAAAACCCTGTGTATGTACCTGTCTATTACCTAATTCTTGAGACACAAACTGTACAACATTATATATACCTACGTACCAATTTATATATAACTTTCTAATATTTAAAATCATATAAAATACATACATTAGATAATGGCTATGTGTTCAATTTCATTTATCCTTCCAGACATCATAAATCCTTTATAAATTTCAACAAATTGAGTTATGTCCTCGCAATATCTAGTCAATTGTTGCACATTTAGCTAATATATTGGAAACCTCTAATGTTATAATAAAAAATATAAAACTTTTTAAGATTCAAAAAATAACCTTTGGTTAACTTATTGACTAACGGCTATATTACAAAGACATTTCTTAACAAGAGCTGACAGGCATAAATTATACTATTTGTACATTATAAAATTATTCCTCACTTTTTATATCAAAGACAGAGGAGAGGGATCAAGAGTAACAAATAAAATTACAGTATGACACCACCAAAATAATTGGTTCAATAATTTTGAATTAAAATAACAGCTAATAGCTTAGCATTTTGAAACTTAACTATTTTGTCACTTGGTATTTTATGCAAAAAATTCTCTTACTGCAACTTTTTCACCTGTAAAAAAATATAATTTAAAAATACCTCAATTTATAATATTTTAGTTGTAAATCTATCAATAAAGAAAATATAAAAATTTATCACTACCATAGACTTATATTAGAACTTAGAAGTAGACTTTCCTTCCATATGGACAAAATGTAGCCAATTGTTTAATTAAGTAGATCATTGTTGAATTACAGGGTGCTTTACTAAAGCAAATTTAATTTTTCCTTTTGTCATATTTGATGTGACATAAAATATGCTGCAGTTGACATAAAGTTGTCCTTTCGATTTTGCTTGTTTAAAAAGTTTGTGGGTTTGACAGGGGTATTTAGTTATAAGATAAAAACCTATTTACGTATTTGATAAAACAGGGTGCCTTGAAATATTCTTTGACATCTTTTTGGCAACTACTTAGGAAGTTTTTCTTCTTACTGTATAATTGAATATTTAAGGGTGATAAGGCTGATCAGTCTAGAGAGTGTGTTGATAGCATTCTTCTGGTGAGCCATACTCTGTTATTCAACTCACTCAGTTATTCAACTATGCCCATTTGTTCTGAAACTGTAAACACAGCTTTATAGGAATGTCTGCTTCTATGAACAATCAAAGCTTATGGTAAAACATGCTTGAATACAGCACTAAGGTCAAGATGTACATAATTTGTCATCCTTACGTTAATACTTTTAACTAACAGTGTGCTAACCAAATGTATAACACAAAGTTGCTCAAATCTTCCTAGCTAAACACTGAGCCTCAGTAACAGTTAGAGATAAAGTCAGGATTACCATAGCCTCTACGGAGATGTGGCCTCCGCCTCAGACGGGGCTTCTCAGCCGGGGCAGGAGTCATGCCTAGTAGGTTGTTACGTAGGCGGGGCTCAAAGCATAGGAACGCCATAGTGGGGACCACTGCTGAAAACTACAAATGAGATTTTCATGAGTTTAAAACAAGTTGTTTGTTGTTATGGTGAGATGGAGCCTAAATCATGAAAGTTACCTAGGAACCATGCTAACAAGAAACTAAAGCTCCTGATTGTTTTTTTTCCTTTAGAGACCAAACATTCTAAACATCAAGCACTTGTATTTGGTCGCTAATTTTTTTTAAGAAATCTAACTCTGACTTTCATCAAAATATTTACGGTACAGCACATTATAATTGATAGTGGCAACTTACCTCAGCACATACAGGAGCCATGAAGACGATGGAATGTGAAGGTCTCGGAGCATCAAACACAAGTCTCCAGATTGCTAAGAGTGACTGAGGTGTCCACAGAATGTACATGCCACACACAAGGGCAATGGTGGCCTGCAATGTAAGTCCATTTACAATGGTATGAGGATGAGGATATGCATAGGCTGCATGTTTATTATTGTTGCCGCTATATTTAGCCCAAACCAAATGGTTGCTCAAGAAGAAAGTACAGTAGTAGAATGATTATTTAAAAAAAATTGGTACTATTGAAAAAATCAATGTAAAATTTATTGTGTTGTGAAGTTTTTAATCGTATACTGTCTGTAACTCTTTTCTTGAATGAATTATTTGGTATAAATTTGGTATTCCGTATTTTTTTAAGGAAGCTAATTGCTCTTTCCTCCATAAACTTACAAGGCAGAAAGAGACTTCAGAAACTTGTCATTCCAATTGTTTAGAGAAGATAAAACATTCTCTGGTGTTGAAGCATGCACAAATAAAATAAATGAACATTACCTTAGTTATTTGCCTTTGGTGGTGGCCAGACAAACGGTAGATACTAGCTGGTGACTTAACTGTTATCCACAGACTCCCGCATCTAGAACCATATAAAATGTGTTAAACATCTCACTTAAGTACGGTAAAGGTTAACCATTCATAGTTGTCACAACATAGTTTTCCTCCAGGCGCCTTTATTTTAAAAGAAAATAAAAAATATATGCATTATTGCAGGCCGGCAGTTTTAAGAGTAACATTATCTCATGTGCCTCTTTCTAGGAACCGATTTAACATCATTTAACTCACCCCCCTCCCACTATTAATAAGTTAAAGCCAGAAGAGTCAGCATGGAGCCCGCTCCCTAGTGTTATCGCCTGCACCAATAGGTTCAGGTGTGTAGTTCCATGTGTCACCTATAGTGTTGTTGTTTTTGTTTGCTATATTAAAAAAATACTTTTGCATAGTAAACATTCTTTTGCCATAGTAAACTATGTAATGATGTATTTTCTCAGGTGACAAACATGTAACAAAAAACAGGTCATTTCACAGTAGTGTAGCGAAAAGCTATAATCAATACCAACCAGCAGGAAATATATTAACAGAATTGCATTTTGTATATCATAAGTGGATACCAGGGCACTTTATTTCCCTCCAGAGCCTGTGACCAAACTCCATCAAAAACTTCTTAGAACATACGTTTTTCTGAAATATTTTCTGATTAATTTCACAATCATAAAAAGTTAAATGGTATACAAATCTTTAAAAGTATATATAATTAATGCCTATTATACACAAAAGGGTGACTTGGTAGAGTAAAATGTTTATTATTGAATAAACCTTACGAAATACCAACGGCTAGAGTGACGCCCAGTAGTAGGTAAGAGACGTTGTACGCAAGACTTTGAGAATCTCCAAGCTCTACAGACCAATCTAGGTCACAGGCGATACCAGCCACATCACAACCATACCTACAACATGGCAAATTTGAAATAAAACAATGGTATATGAGTAGATATATAGTTAAATACATAGATAGTGAATAAACATTAGTGTTATGCTTTTAGATTTAGCAAATGTATTTAGAGTATTTATTCTTGTAAGAGAAAAATTATTAATTTATGTAAGAATTAAGAGTGTAACCTGCCATAGTTGAGAAGAGGTAGCAGCGACCAAACCATTGAAGCAATCCACATCAGAAGCAAGGAGGACATGTAAGCACATTGACCTGAACATACATAATACTTTTTATACAAACAAATCACAGTAGACAAATGATCAATAGGTTTATTGCAATAGAAAAAGCACAACTACAAATATTTCCAAATGTAATAGAAAATTACTGAACACCTACCTAATTTATTAACTACGGTTTTTAGTTTGTAGAAAAACTCAACTTATGACCAGGTAAGCAATTTAACTCGCTCATACATCCATTTTAATTTCAGTGGTGTGGAAAGGAAATGAGGGGGAGAGGATAACTCAAGGGGAAAAAAAGTATAAGTCCAGCGCTTAAAGAAATCTAATAACGATAATATGAGTTATTACTAGCATGAAAGTGATATTTTTGGCTCATAAACTACCAACTATGGTAAGAGGACTGGGTCCCCTTCACCCTGGGGAGTGTTCCATACCTTCCATCCCCCCCCCCCCCTATTTAAGGGCCCCCACCAAGGGATGCCAAATAATATTTACTATGTGTAAATATTACCGAGTGTGCTAAGAGATTTTGCTTTACTACTGAGAGAGACTTTGTATTGTAATTGGGTGAAAAAAGTAGCGACTTATCATTCACTATAGATAACAAGATGCAAACTCTATAAAAAAATACCAACCCATATGAGAGTGTAAGGTGATTTGGTATCTTTCAAGGCACAATAACATGACAGCTAACAGTTCTGCGACACTGAAGAGCTGATGAAGGAATGCGTAGAGTTTGCAGCAGGCATCTCCAAACAACCATCTGGAACATACAGGGTAATGAAGATAAATTAATCTCTATGTTGAGGTGGATTGAAAAACATAAAGTTAAGTGAAAATAAATTTTTTGCTACACTACTGTGAAATTACCTGTTTCCATTACATGTTTATCTCCTGTGAAAATTCATCATTACATTGTTTACTACGGCAAAGAATGTTTACTATGTGAAAGTAATGTTTACCATATTTTTTTATTTTGTCAGCGTAAGCAAACAAAGATTTGTTTTTGTTTTGTCAACTGTTTTAATTTTCAACAAGCAAATTCATACAAACAAAGTAAATGTTAACCTTAAATTAAATTAAAGGCATAACCTGAAAAATACTATGAGTTTTGTAATGTTCCTAACTGTAAAGTCTGTTTAAGAAAATTAATAATATATTAAGAAAATAATTAGTTCTTTTTGTGTAGCGAAAAGTAATGTTCAAAACACGAGTGAAAGTGCCTGCTTTATAAATCTTGCACTTCAAACATGGTCCAATTTGTAATGACTCACTTTCTTCTCTTGTTATGAAATACTATTCCCTTGTAGATTTTTGAGGGCTGAACTTCAAATTCAATTGTAACACACTCTAAGTCAAACAAGGATTGGGAGCTCTGAAATACTCTTCAGCCTGGTAAGGATAAACGGTTTTCAAAAGATATCCACACAGATAGTGGGAATTAATTCTTTACAGGTAAAATATGATGTGGCCAGAAGGAAATAAAGAAAGGAGGTTGGATAAGATCAGATTTGGAGGTCATATTAGCAAGAAGTGGCCAATAGCCGTACATTTTCAGCTATAGTATGTTTGTACTGAAACTATACTTGTGCTGGGCAAGGAAGAGTCCGAGCGTGGAACACTGTTCGGAAATCCCTATCGGACAGGGCACAGAGTCTTCCTTCACCGTGAGCGTTGTATGCATGAAAGGTGCTGCAAGGACTAGTGCTAGACACTACTTAAAGTGTACCGAGTGTTTCCTCTGTACCTTACTTCTCTGTGATTGTGCACCGATTCATATTAGGTTAATTGAAACAGTAACCATGAAACTCTAAATATGACATCTAAATTACATGTACTTAGCACTGATTGTGTTTGAATGGTTGTTTTACTTGGTTTGCAATTATCTACAACCAATTTCACAACTGTCAGGCTGCACGTTTTCAAATTTTTACTAACTTGCCAGCCAAAGCTGAGGTCGCGGAGAAGGGAAATCCTCCCAGCAGGGATCGTCCGAGGCTAGCAAGGCCGATGTTGAGAAGCAGGAGATGGCTCCAAGACATGTGCTCAGCCCTAAGGAATAGCGTGGACACCAGCCAGCCATTGACTGCAGAACCCAACAAGCCTGGTGCAGACAGTAAAGGTCAGCTTAAATTGATTATACTAATCTCTCTTTTTAAGCACTCCAATACATGAACTTTCAGTTGTTTGCTTACCAGGCCAATAGCAAAACAATACAACACTAAAACAGGGTTGGCTGATTGTTGTACATACATGATATGCCAGAACAAGTTATAGGCATTAGTACCACCACAACTGCCTCAATTTATAATGCTAGTACACAAACAGCTAAAATCAAAGGCAAAGTTTTCACATGTGTGAAAAGGCTTTAGGCAAACCACCTTGATTCAGCTTATCTTGCTAGATAAAAATAAACAATAAATGAATGAATGCTGAAAGCAGATATGGTAATCTATGTTTAGTGATTCAAGATTTCACCAACTAACTATGGGTTTGGCTGTGATGTATCCTGTTTTTTAACATTTGTATTCATAAGTTTAATAATTTAAATCAGGAACTTCATTTGGCACTTCAAGCTGATATCTTATTTTTCAATGTTGTTTTATCCTCTAAACCTTTACTAAAACAGAATAGCTTTTTAAAATTTGAATTTAGTTTCTCTAAGTACCTTTGTCTCTTCTGTCTTCCATCTTCTTTGAGTCCATTATGCAAATCCTTGAAGCAGTTTAATAAATTTTTGAAACAGTACTAATAAACTTTCATTTGACCATGGTAGTTCTTTTCTGCTTTATGTCTGTTCGTTCCAGACGAATCTAATCGTAAAGCAAAACAGCCGATAACGACTAAACTAGTTATCAGTATTGCATCATACGGCTTCTTTGCCGATTGCTGTTAGGTCGTTGGAAACGTATTGCTGTAATTTTGTCCTGGGAAACTAATGGTGGCTATGGAGATTTTGTTTTCTGTCCAAAACGTCAAAATATATTGTCTATCCGAAAAAGTCGGATATATAACGGATAGTGTCGGATATCGAATTTGGGCCCGGTTCGGATACGGATATCTGAACCGAACCGAATCCGACCCGATTTTTCGGATATCCGCACACCTCTACAATAAACATTTGCTTTTTAAATTAATAAAAAGCTGGCACCCCAGCCCCATCTTCAAACTCTCTAAGGGTCCTCCACTTCTTTCTTGTCCTCCTTAGACACATGATGCTGGCCCTTAATGTTGCACAGATGGTTTTTACCCTTATCCAATTCATCACTAAACTGTAAGGTTTCTTCCATTTTTCTGTTAGTCGTTCTGCCATCGCTCTACGCAAGGTCTGGAATTCTTTGCCTAGCATTCCATCTACAGACGTTTGCATAAATTGTTTGCCAGACTACACTAAGTAAGCAGCTTGTTTCTGTATTCTTTGTAGAAGAGAAAGTCAATGTTTACAAAAAAAGAATATAGGTTTGGAGAAGCATATTGTACTTTTACAATATGCTTGTTACTTTTACTTTGTACTTTTACATTTTAAATATTAAATGTTTAAAACCGTTCACTTTTTAAAAATAAATGATAATGCTGTTAAAATAGTTTATGGATTAACCCATATTTGTTGCTAGTATAGTGGGGTGAAAAGTACGGTATCCATGAAGGTGTTTTTACAGTAGGTACTTAATTAAAATAAAAAGTACTTTACAATAAATACCTAGTTAGGAAATTACGATTTTTAGGCACATTTTTGGATTGTTTTTTGTAGATAACTTTTTTGTGATGTTTAGTAAGTGGTGGGAGCAACTATGATTTTTATGGGAAGAGTTGGAATAAGGTTTGAACTGTACTTCTTACAGCAATTAGGGTCAAAACATTTCCGTTAGTTAAAAGAACCATAACATACAACATTTTAATCAAAACCAGTCTAGCTGAATCAGAGTTTTCCGTTATTATATGGGTTTTTATGGGAAAATCACCAATAACTTTTGAACCATAATTTTACGTAGCAATTAGCATTGTAATTAACATACTTTGTTTTGAGTTGAACAGACTATAACATACTAAATTTTCATTAAAACGGGTCACGCTGTAAAAAAATACAATTAGTCGGTTATTTTATGGGTTTTATGGGAAGAATCACAAAAGATGCAATAATTTTTTATTTAACCATAATTTTTGATCCACTTAACATTGCTTTCATTTCACAAAATTATGAATACATTTTTCATTTTTTGTAAAAATGGTAAATAAATAACAATACCTGTGAATATGAGGCAAGATCCCAACATTGCCTTCATATGGTTGTCCAGTATGGGGACCCCACAGTCTTGCAGCATTAGAGTTGACCACATATCTGCTGTAGCCTCTACTGAGCGACTGAGAGGACATTGACAATGAGTAACCTACACTGAGCTGGCTGTGCTCAACAGCGGAACTGTGCTAGTGTCAGGTGTCCGGTGTAACGCCCATGTCAAGGAGTTGAAAATGGTTTGAACGCAAAACACATGCTGTGTTAAATAAAAGACTTGTCAAAAGAAGATTACATTCGCCTTTCATATCATCTAAATTCCTTATTGGGGAGTAGCTGTTCCTGTAAAAAAGGGCATTTGTTGCAAAAGGTTAGGTTTGATTTTGAAGAAATAGAATATGCTACCGTACTTGGGCACTGTAAAAACAAGATCCATTATGCATTGCCTTTGTATTACATTCACAAATAAAAGATATATTTTAAAAACTGTAAACATTACAAACATAATAAATTACACAGCCTGTGAGTACCAGGCAAGATTTAAGCATCACCTTCATGTAGTGTAATATATCCATTACATGTTTCTTCTTGTAAATAGACAAAATAAATGGATTACATGAAAAATATAAAAATTTGTTTTACTTTCTCCCCACATATGGAGAAAGTATTGTTTTGTCAAAATTTTTGAGTTTGAGTTTGGACTGGATATATTTGTTTTGGGTCCCCCTGAACCCATGAAACTAGTTTTCGAAGTGATATCTGTCCCTGTGTGTGTCTGTCTGTCTGGATGTATACAGAGCTACAGACTACACCTGTTGTCCGATTTTGATGAAATTTTGTATGTAGGTACTAATCCATGGTATCTCAAGACGTGTTAATTTTCTTTGGAAATTTTGATTTTAATATGATTAAAGAAAGTGGTCTCCCATGATACGAGATGTGTCTTTAATTTTGTACCTTAGCCATTCTAATGCAAAGCGTAAAAACAATGAAACTTGAATGAACGTTACTGAACCGTATGAAAATAGTATTGAGTACAAATTTTAATGAAAGTTCGAACCAAACATTTTTAGTTCCTAAGTTAGTGTTTCATCGTCTGTATCTCTTTTTCTAAGACTAACAAGATACCAGTTTCCTAATTGTGTTACATTTGCAATAGACAAACATGCACGGAAAACTTCCAAAGCCTGCATCCCCATGGATAAAGCTTCTCAAGTCTGCAATGCCACAAGCATAGAACAAGTAAACAGAATTTAGGCTATTCTATACCCAAGAAAAAGATGTTATTCCAAATAGTAATTTTTTTTTACTAACCTTATTAAATAGTTTGTGAACGGAATGGATTAGTTAATATAACAGAAGAAGAAATTTTGATTATTTTTTAGCAAAATGTTACAAATTCTCCCAGTAAAATCTTATTCTAAACCAGAGGGACCTCAGTTTTGGTTCCAACTGGTGCGTCAAATCAGTCCAAATAATATATTAGAAAAACCTATGGTAAACCAGTCTGATACAACCAAAAGAAAAGTTGGTTTGAAAAACTTTTGGGGAAGAGAGATTGTTTGGTCCCAAAAAATCAGATTTTTTACTTTTTGGATTATGTTTTACAAAACAATTTTAATTATACTAATCGGAATAAAATAAATAAAAATTAAAGACTTTTGGATTTATTTTCTCCCTTTGCCAAAACTGGAATAAATCAGTTTTGCAAATTCTAGGGTCTCAATACATAATTTTCTCAAAGGAATTGTTTTATACATATTCTAGAATAGTTTGGTAAGAGCAAAAATAGATTTTACATTAGGTATGTTGCTTGTTTTCGTTATATTTTAGGAGGTCCTTTTATCAGACAACTCTTTATAAAATGTCTCTTTACGCATAATTTAAAAAATATAAAAGGACTCCAGGGAGTTTGTGCTTAAAAATATCACATGCGAAACGTACAACAGAAAGAGGAGAGCATCCTTAGTACTCTGCGATCAACCAGTAAAACTAGCGTCTAGACTGCCAGTGCAAGTCCGAGGATCGGAGGATCGTGGATCAGATCAGTAGATCACCCCCCACCACCGCACCATGTCGTACGCTTCCGAATCATACCGGCGCATAAGCATAGCTTATCTAACTGTTTGCGGAAAATTGTTATCTGTATCACTGTCGCTGTCAAAACGTATAATTTGTAGATTAAATTTGAATTAAATACAATTAAACTATCATAACCTAACCAAACTTGCTGATAATGATAAACTCGAATGAAGGTTTACTAATCGAAAAATAGCTCTGTTCTAAAAATAAAATTATAAATGTCTCAAATTAAATTTTACAATCTTTTAATTATAAAATTAAACTGTCATAACCTAACCAAACCAACCAAACTTGCTGATTTGAAAAAAAAATTGTTGACAAAAAGTTAGTGCTCCCGGTGGGATTCGAACCCGGCACCTTCAGTATATCAGCCCGACACACTATCCACTACACCACAAAGGCTCATGACTCAGTTCCGTATCGTTGCAGTAATGGTTGACGTCACGCCATCGGCACTGAGCGGTGGTGGGGGGTTTTTCGATCTGATCCACGATCCTACGATCCTAGGAGTTGCACTGGCAGTCTAGATGCTTATACCAGTAAATATTTATGTTTCCATAGAAACAATTTCCTTTTATCATTCAAGGGCTGAAAAAATTCAACAAGTGCAGTAGTATACTTTTTTCAGATAAAGTATTAAAGAGCAAGATATGGTTGGTTTGATAAGGGGGAATTAGTACAGGAAAATAGTGTTGGATTCCAGAATTTTAATTTATCAGGCTGAAAATTGGTGGAAATGTTGTACGTACAGCTGGGAACATCATACTAAAATTCCCAAAAAATCCCACTTGGGCAACATGCCGCCATCTTGGAAAATGGCCGCCATAATGGATTTCCCCCCTTGTGTCACATATTCAAGCATAAAACCACTCCTAATTGTGATAAAAACATGCAGTTTCTTCAAAATTATTTGTCGGGATGTAATCAAAATATTTAGTGCCATTATATATAGTTTTGTATGGAAATTGCAAATTTTTATGCTAAGAATTAAACAAAAATAATTGGAGGGTAATACTGGTCTTGCATTCAAAATTGATTTAAGACCTCTTTAACTCATCGGGGATAAAACTTCTCTGATTAAATCTTATAGAACAAGTCAAGGCACACAAGAATATGTAATTATATTTGTTTTTGGTCTATAAGTATGCCATCATATTGACGCTGGACATGTGATTGCAGCCTACGTTTTAGACCGCATCATGGTAGTGACTGTAATAAAATTATGTAAATGGAATTAAATTACTTATAGTAAATAAACAGTTGTATTAGTCTTACTTTTATAACTAACTTTTATTTGATACATAATATTTTTTTTAATTAAAACTCCAAAAAAACTGAATATATTCTGTCTGACAATTAATAAGTTTGTGAGTTATAAAAACGATTTTCTTCGATGTGACTTTTTCCTCTTGCTGCAAAGTGGAATGGAATCGTTTGCATGTCGGTTTTGTTGACTTCCCGGTCAGAACGGAACTGGGTTGGTAAATCAGGTACATTAATGTCCCCTTCTTCATTAATTTAGTACTGATGTGGCATTGATCCCGTGACCACAACCGTTGGTGCAGTAGATACACAATCGTGAACAAGATAACCCATTTTCAGACACCCACAATACCTGTTACATGCAGTCTTACATGCACATCTTATCAAGTTGAGGAAGTTCAGGTAAAGGGGCATTGAAGTAGGAATTGGAGTAAATGTACCTATTTCGTTCTTTTTCCATCCCCACTTTACTTTACTTTACTTTACTTTCTTATGAAATGGCGACCATACAATGTAAGTATTTTAAGCCAAGTATGAATGGAGATGAGTGTAGGATGAGTGGCGCGATCTTGTAGTCTTGTTAGTGACTAAGGCCGACATTCCTTAGACACAGCTGTTAATTAATAGCCCAAACAGCTAATGGCAACTAAGGGACCTACAGTTTATAGTGGAATCCGAACCACATTTTTTCCTTGGTATATACGAATTGGTCTAATTATCAGGATAGTACTGCGGATTGTCGTAATACTCACTAGTGCGGACGTTAATCCACACCAGGGAGTATCCCATTCACACTCTGTAGATGAAAGAGAAACCCCTAGCCATTCTTGACCCTGGTGGTACACTCTAAGGTTGTGCTCTCTAGCAGCTTCAGAAATTGGTAGAAGTGTTGAAAGGTCAAATTAAAAGTCAAGACGTTTTGATATTACTTTCAGGTACTGCTTGTATCGAGTTCTTTTGAGTCTCTGACAGCTTTTTGCTCCATATATAGGGCTACAAGAAATTCCTATCCAGCTTTTTACGATTTCCATCTGTGTGGATTCCGCCCGATTTAACACATACACTGGTTGGCAAAGAATTGGTGATTTCTCCAGAACATTGAATGCTTGTATCTTCCCTTTCCTGTAGGTTGCTGACGTGGTGTCATAACCGGACATAGAATGCGAGAAAACAAGATGCTCGTTGACATTGTCCATACTATTTTGCAGTGCTGTGGATGAAAATATGTTTGGCTAATAAGCTTTTGAAAGTGGAATGAGCATTAAGATATTTTTGTCAGGGTCAGTAAGGGTCAATAACATGACGAATGCCTCAGTGTTCTTTCCAACAATTGCAGAGTTTTTTCTTCATTGGCTAGTAGGATGGTTGTTTGGACAATTAGACGGTCTGCATAAGCTTTCGCATGGACCGCTTGTATTCAGTTTCTGTTTGGATGGCTTACTAATTTATCAATGAGCCTTCTTTTGTTGGTTGCGTTGGCTAAGAATGGATGCTGCTGGGATACCACTTGCACATCAGAACCAACAATAACTTTGGCAGATGTCGCTTTAAACGTTCGCCTAACGTGTTCTACATCCTTCATCGTACTTTCCTGGAATTAGTCGAAAAAAACAATGACTTGATTTCCGTAATGTTTTACAATGTATGTCTGGTGCGCCTTACAAAAATGTCAGAGAAAATAGCCGGTTTTTGCCAGACTACCATGTGAAGAAGATGCCCACCATCTATCACAAGGTTTGGAGCTAGTAGGAGGACACAATATCTCCCCCATGGTCCTTAACGCAGCCTTATTGGGTTTTCTATCGGTCCCATCGTTGAATAATGCTGTTGGTAATGGTGCCAACTCGTATTCAAAACATGTCTACAACTGTTATTCATTACGGACAAGACACATAATTTGATAGAATGGCTAATTTTGGCTAATAGGAATAGTTTCACCCCGCATAACGACCACATTTCCCATGGTTAAATGTGACTGTATCTTGTCTGATCTCCTAAAGGGCTTTAATGTGGAAACATATTCCCTCACTTCAGCATGCTGCATGAGAACTCGTTTCAATTACAGCATTATATAGATTATACATATAGATTATGTATAGATATTTATAGACCAAAAACAAAATATTATTACAGTTTCTTGTGCATATTGACCTGTTCGAAAAAATTTATGCTGGTAAGTTTTTCTCCCGATGAGTAAAAGAGGTCTTAAATCAATTTTGAATCCAAGACTAGTATTACTTTTAAAAAAAATTGTTGGTTATTTTTTGCATAAAAATGTTAAATTACTATATACAATTATTTACATTGGCTCTAAATATTTTAATAACATCCCGACAAATAATTTGGAAGAAACTGCACTTTTTTTTATCACAATTAGGAGTTGTTTTATGCTTGAATATGTGACACAAGGGGGGAAATCCATTATGGCGGCCATTTTCCAAGATGGCGGCATGTTGCCCAAGTGGGATTTTTTGGGAATTTTAGTATGATGTTCCCAGCTGTATGTACAACATTTCCACCAATTTTCAGCCTGATAAATTAAAATTCCACTATTAGGCTAAATTTTACACTTTTTTCCTGCACTAAATGTCTTTTGCTCCCCATACTGAAGAGGTTGGACAATTTGAAGAAGAATGTTTGCCAAACAAGTTGGCCCATGGTTCATCATTGCTTGAATCAAGAAAAAATCTAGAAGAAACAAATTATCAATGAATAGCAGGCTTCTAAAACATTGGCCTTAAGAGACTTGATATTCGGAGGAGTCATAACACTCATCTAAACAAAGAGGATCAGCTGAATTAGAGGATTTCTAAGATGGTACAATTCACAGTAGGTAGAATAAAATATGATAAAATGCATGGTTCTTGAGGAAAATTTGGACAAGGAAACAGAAATATCAATTTGAGGAAAATTGGAGAATTCTAAGAAGAATCTGGAAAGATGAAGAGACATTGGCTGACTGAAGACCAAATGTGGAAGAAGTCAGAGATCAAATTTCTCAAGATGCAGGAGATTTTAATATTAATTATTAATCATTGGTGTACATCCTAGTATTAAGTATCTTACTCTTGTTAGGGATTAATATTATTTATATATAGGTAGTTAAAAACCTAGTATTAAGTATTTTACTATGTATTAGTATAAGTCTGACCGAGTGAGGTAGCGTCATAACAATGACGTTGCCTCACATTCGGGAGGTCTGACTATCAGACCGACCATTCCGAGGGAAGTTTTGTACGTTTCCTTTCCTCACTGAGGCGAATGCCGGAATGGTTCCCTCAAGGGCCGTACCCCACCACTCAGAATGGAAGACAGGCCTCTGGCCTAATTCTGTTTGGTTGATGAAATCCCTCATAGGCATAGTTGTCAAATAAATATTTTACAGTTAATAATAACATGTTTCTACACTTTATTTATGTCTCTTAGGCTACTTGGCATTTTTCAAAATGTAGTTATTTAGATATAGGTATAGATATATTCAGCACTCTACTTGGATTTTCTAAAAAGTAGCTTAGTTAAAAATTATTACCTCAGTGTTTACCCAAAACAAAAATTTAAAAATATGATAATTAACCTAAAAAAATTATGTTTCTTCAGTAAAGTTAAAAGTTATTAAGGTTTGAATTAAAAAAAATATGGGTGTGTCCTAAAAATTTTATTTTTGAATTATTTATATAGAAGATTATCAGTACAGTAAAAAATAATAACACAAACTTTAAATTAGGGATGTGTTAATTTTCGATACCCATGATAATTGTGACATTTGTATCGGTATCGTGAATTGGTCGTCAAAAGTCAATGCCTATACCGATACCTGCATGTCAAAGAATGTGCAGTCAAAAAATTACCGCTCTGGCGTCAATTGCGGGAAACAATGATGATGTCTTAATGGCTGGAGTGATCAGGATTTTGCTGCAATCGCGGAAGACGGGCATAATGTCTACACGACTCTAGGATATTTTCATGATTCTGCTGTAATCACAGAATAGAATACAATGATGTTTCTGTTACCGTAGGGATATTCAGCATTTTGATGACGTTTTCCAAACAGCAGGGTTTTTTTTTGGCATTTTACCTGACCACGGGAGGCGATGATGATGTCCAAACGATCACGAAAGGTGATGATAATGTTAACACCACTGCCTGGTATGTTAATGATTAGCCGCGGGAGATGATAAAAAATATGCCGTGATCGCAAAAGATAATGTCCACATGACTGCTGGTGATATTCAATATTTTGCTGTGAAAACGATAATAATACTTTAAATATTGCTTGATAAAAAATCTCAGGATGGCATACTTGTAGTTATTTTTCATTGCTGCATTATTTTTTTCTTTACTTGAAAACATCGCATTACTACAAAATTATTTTACAGGATGGCATTAAGACAGGGGTTGGTGTAGTATAACCAATCCATACAGAAAACTTGGTTGTAAAAAAAGTGGTACCGGTATAGAGAATTGAATAGTATATTTCGTACCTAGGGCTGAAAATGAGGTTTCGCCGGCTCGAGATACTTTTTAAGTTCGAGACGAGTAAGCTATACTGATTGTGTATTTAATATGCATTTATGTTTTGAGAAAGTAAGCGGGCAGCTGATTTTGCGGCCTTAGGGATGTAAAACCCTGCTCGGTCCCCAAATGACGATGACAGCTAGCATGGCCAGCAAAACGTAGCTTTCAGCCACCAATTAATTAACGTATGTAAAAAAACTAAAACATCATAGTATACAATTCCTCAACATCAAGAAAATGTCCTCAATAAACCTTTGAACAACAAATCATAGTATAATGAAAATTAATTTTTTGGGTATTGTTATCAGGAATCAATAAATTTTTCCATTGACACATCACTTAAGATAAGGTAAGCAAAGAGCTCATCTCACTAGAATTGTATTTTAAAATTTGTGTGTACAATCAACTGCCTGACACTCTTTTTTTTCTCAGGAGCTTTGCATATCCGTTAATTCATTTTATTGTATTTTTTAAGCCAAATGCTTTCCAAATACAAAACAACAACAAAAGACTGGAGTTTTAGTAACTAGTTTAAAACTTATTGGATCCAAGAGAACTTTTTGGGTACAAGAGAAATTAAAATTTGAAATACTACTTCAATACGATATAACGATGTAAGTTAATATTTATGGCAAAGGAATTCCACAAAAACACCTAAACTATAAAAAATATTAAACAATTTATTAATTTACATAACAATAAGTTAAATACCTAGTACACTAGAGCACAGCAATTATACATGAAAATAAGAAAATATTAAGATGGCAGCTGACAGTAAACTTAACAAAAGGTTAATTACTCGTTACTGTAGAAAACATTTAGTACAAACATAAATCAGTCGTAACAAAATACACTCAAAACTAGGAAATATAGATAGAGCAGAGCAGGTAAAGGTGAAATAGACAAGTATTAGTTATACAATTATCTTTTATTGATCACAAGTGGTAGAATACCTCTCAGTTTTATCATAAACAATGTAATGGCATTCTCGAATTAATTTATCAATAAATATCTCTAGTATTAATAATTATATTATAAAACAAAAAGACGGTATGTACAAAATCGATTAAAATTATTACAAAATGTTAACAATTATGCTAGAGCAAAATAATAACACAAAAGCTTTTAGTTACAAAATTTCATTTGACGAAGCACCTCGGTGCATTTATACAAATATATATACGTATAAACATGTGACAAGCACGGGCGACGGACAACACGTCTCGACATGCACCACACCTCAACAGCGACGTAAACTCTTTTGATTATAGAAATAAAACGGATTCATATACAATAAACATAAATTTACAAAGGGAATACTGCAATAGTTTTGTACAAAAATACCACTAAGCTCGCAAAAGTATGACTCATAAACTTCCAAAAATATCCAAAAATACAAAATAAATATAAAAAACAAAATCAACGTCAAAACATCTTAAAATTCTTGCGATCACATAAGTACATCAATAACCCAATTTAAACAACGCTTATTTTCAACACGCGACATTCGATGTAAGTTGTAAAAATTCCAAACCTGCACCTCTGTTTCCCGTGATGTTTTAATGTTGTTCTTCCAGTGCGAGTAAGGATTAATCGTATTAGGCGGGGTTAAATCTTTACTAGACATTACATTAATCTATGATTAATCATAACCAATTGGAACGAGTCTAAAGAGCTTGATTCCGTTAATTGCACTAAATGACCAGTGTCATGTCTCGCTTGCTGGGAAGGTTGACTTTCTTGCCTTGCCAGAGGCTGTTGTGAATAGTGAAGGCGTCAATGGTGACGGTCAGGTGTTTGGTGTGCACCTGGGAGAAACATTTTCCTCCAGAGTTATACCTGCAAACAGGTAGATCAAGTATAAAGTAGCAGAAAATATAAACACAATACATTTTACATTTAGATTTAGAATCAACCAGTAAAGGCAGGTTTTCCTAGCTGCCGAAGTCGGCTGCTACTGCTGCGGCATTATGTCAAGTTTTTTATGGTATAGCACCTGTGTTCCCTCATCCTTTGGTGAAGATTGGCGCAGCTAGCAAAACTCCCCTTAAAAACCATAATATTTGAACCAGCAAAATGAGTTCAATCTATTTTTAGCGAATTTCCCTATAGGGAAGTAGCTATTTAGTTCTAACAGAATTGATGTTGCCATTCTGTACCGATAAGTATCTTGCCTTTAATAATGTGGCCATTACTGAAATAGCCATAATATGTACACAGTAAAATGAGTTTTTGCCCAAAAAAAGTTCCTTTTTTTATTTAATTGTTGAGCAAAGCCACAGCGGGTGTGCTAGTAATTTTATATAGGATTCAATAATACTTACATTTAGGAATACATAGCTCAATTAGCTTAGGCAGTGATAATAACTACTTACTTAAAGAACTTATCAAACATTCTATCAGTGACTAGTTTAGGGCCGGTCCCATATAGTTTAGCGACTTCTTCGGTCTCGGGACAATATGAGTAGAGAGCTCGGAACTGACAGCCTGCGTCTCGGAACAGGATGAGGAAATGTTTGGCCTCCGACCTCTGTATCTCCTCTATGACTAGCCTCTTGGCCTCTCTGTTGACAACGCCAGGGAACACGCAGTACTCCACAGCGTTTAGGATGATACCCTGGAAACATACACAGTGTGTACTGAGTAGCAATGGGTATCAATAGTGGTACTATCAAAAATAGGATACCAGACATTAACATATACATTTATAGATGTTTTTAAAGAGACTCTAGGAAAAAATGGAACACATCATTGTGAAGTAGAATAGTTTGTTTGTTTTGACATGAGCAAAATGTAAACAAAACATCTGATCAGCTGTTATGATCTTGTCTTGGTCAAAATCTGTCGGCAATTGGCTGAATGAGCAGGTTTGACGGAAATCGTACACACCCCCTTCTAAAACCCCCCTTAAATTTGGAATTTTGTAAAACCTTGTCTTATCGCACGTGTACACTGTACAGGGACCCTCTATACCTACCAAATTTGATAATTCTAGGTAGTATATTTTGTGAGATATAGTGATTATTATCTGTCAGTCAGTGGGGTTTGCCTCTTATATAGATGATATAATAATTTTAATTTAACTATATTGACAACATTAAAACCCTAATGGCAAAACAGTTTGCAAAAACCACTGATTTACTGAAACGGGAATATTTTCAGACATTGAAATAGTCTTGGAATGTCTTCAGATTTGCTGCGAGTATTTAGAACAATGGCAGTTGAATTAAATTAACGATATTCTAAGCCCAGTACAGTTTAGCATGTTAAACAGTTATCAGACAAAACAGAATACATCTTTACCGAAACTTTCAGAAGTTCAATTCAATGACAATATTTTGTATTCATAAAAATTGACTACAACATAACAAAAATGATGGGATAACCCTTAACTGTAGTGTGTCTATAATCAAAGCTACAGCTTAACGTGTTCAGTAGATTACCTTATTAGACTTAGTGGCAGGTTGTTTGTACAGTCGAGGCCCACTGTACTCGCTTCCCCCACTCTCAGACGCAGCGTCGTCGTAGCGACGGCGGTGGGCAGGGAGAGACCCTGGGCCGGAGGGTGACGGGGGGTGTTGTCCGGGGGAGGGGGCTCGGCGGGGGGGAGTGGCTCTGCCTAGACCAGAGTCTGTGTCTCCGTACCGATACAACAAACTGTCTTGGTCACAGCTCGACCCTGCAAACAACACTTGTCAGTCACGGCCATCAACTTTTAATACTGTTGTGACATCCCACCTATGTACACCTGATTAGGTGAATGAACCATTCACAGAATGTGATACTGTTTAAAATCGGGAAAATTAACAGGGGCAGTAATTTACTCAAGCATACTCTGTCAGTGACTAAATTCAAACACATTCCTTTATAAAACTGGCTACAATTTGAACATGTGCTGTCTGTCTTGATCCAAATCCGAGGGTCACAACTAAGTTGGTTGCATGCAAGCAAACCACATTCCAGGTTAAGATTAATGACAAACCCCCATTAATTACGAGAAGTATATGTACGGTTAAAAAGTTCTCAGAACTGCTCAGATTTTTGTTACCTTTGGGAAAAACTTTTTTACTGAAAAAAACCCTGTCTCCTTTGAAAAACGATCATGTGCAGCGGTATTTCTGCTTTCCTCACAATAACAACTACTTTTAGTAATCACTCAATAATCTTGCATTCTCGGTATGGGTATTCCAGTGCTGCCAAAGTCCTAAACTTGAGGATTAGCCAGTGTCTACTGCATGGCTATTCAGTCTTATAACTGACATAGGAGTAATAAGCAGCTATCTGTCCAGATAGTTATCAAAATTCAAAATCAAAATATGTTCTTGATTAAATTGTATTAAATGGTCTGATAAGAATTGGTGTAATTTCTTTTATTGGATGTATATACTTGAATCTACAAGGCTAATCAAGCATTTTTATTGTATTTCCATGAATAAAACATTTGAAATGGCATTCTGCAAAAAACACTTGATATTTTTATCATCTTTAAATAAACTGCTGAATAGGTGTTTGTAAAATATTAGTGATAATTGTACTTTTGAAGCTAGTTAAATGAATTTTAAGTGAATAAGTTAGATGAAAAAAAATTAAAAATGTGATGTGACATTCCCACCACCAAATAAGTGTGATTAGCTTGGATTTTTTTCAAAGTTAAATTAATAACCAACAATTCAGTTATCAACCTGAACTAAAAATTAAGTAATCATACATGATATCAACATGGTGTATCAATTAAGGAAGTTCCATCCAATTTATTTAATTTGAAAAGGTAAAATTGTAATATATTTAAAGTATCCTTGACACCTTCTCAGGCATACATTTCTACTAATTTAAATTTTATGGTTTTCTTTTGTAATCAGCATTTAATATTTTTTCAATGTGTTTTTTAACAATGAGATTTGAGAATGGAGCAACGATTCTTGGAAACTAATCATCTGTAATAAAAAAATACTAGATTCATGACTAATGTCCTTTGGGTATCACAAAATACATAAATACACAAGATACAAAAATTAACATCCTAAATAATAAGCACAGGTCCTAGCATGACAGTTTGGTTTTGCCCCCGTTTAGCTATGTACATAAAGCAACCGCCACCGTAACCATTACCACCACCAAGCTCGGTGGCTTACCACTCAGGTTCATCAGGGAGTTGGACTTGCGTCTGCTCTGATAGGTGCTGAATTTGTTCCTGGACCTACCAGGGTCTAGCGAGGAATCTGCAAACATGCTCTAGCTACAGAACTACACACTGGCTAAGTGGCTACACTACGCAGTATGCAACACACCTTACCTCGGCAACTAGGCATATAGGCGCGCCACTGACAGGACAAATAACCACTAGCTGGATTGAAAGCAAAAAATATTATCAGGGTGTCTAGTTCATTTCCATTATAAAATTCAAGACTAATTCCAGACTTTTCAAGACTAATTCCAAATTTTTCAAGACTATTTTTTCAACAGTTAGTGGGTGTTAATACCAAAATGTATAGATTCTCAATTCTTGATACCGGATACCAATTATAGCCGGATACTTTATAGCTTAACCAAATTTTCTAAATAATACTACACCAACCCCTGTCTTTGTCATAAAGTAATATTATGATAATGTGGTGTTTTCAAGTAAAGAAATAATGCAGCAATAAAAAATTCAAACTAGCAAATTTGTTTTTTTTATCATGAAATCTTCCGCGTACCGTACGTTAAAACATCATCATTGACTGCAGCGGTTACAGAAACGTGATCGTCGTCGTCCGCGATCACGGCAAAACCATGAATATTTCCCGCGGCCTTGTAGACATCATTGTCATCTCCCGCGGTCACGAAAACGTCATCGTCGTCGTCCGCGATCGCGACAAAATCAAGAACATTTCCCGCGGCCGAGCAGATATCATCGTCGTCTCCCGCGGTTACGGAAATATCATCGTCATCTCCCGTGGTCACGGAAACGTCATCGTCATCTCCCACGGTCACGGAAACGTCATCGTCATCTCCCGCGGTCACGGAAACGTCATCGCCATCTCCCGCGGTCACGGAAACGTAATAGTCGTCGTCCGCGATCGCGACAAAATCATGAACAATTCCCGCGGCCAAGCAGATATCATCGTCGTCTCCCACGGTCACGGAAACGTCATCGTCGTCTCCCGCGGTCACGGAAACTTCATCGTCGTCTCCCGCGGTCACGGAAACATCATCGTCATCTCCCGCGGTCACGGAAACGTCATCGTCGTCGTCCGAGATCGCGGCCAAATCATGAATATTCCCTGCGGCTGTTTAGACATCACCGTCATCTCTCGTGGTCACGGAAACGTTATCGTCGTCGTCCGCGATCACGGCAAAATCATGAACATTTCCCGCGCCTGTGTAGACATCATCGTCGTCTCCCGCGGTCACAGAAACGTCATCGTCATCTCCCGCGGTCACGGAAACGTCATCGTCGTCTCCCGCGGTCACGGAAACGTCATCACCGTCGTCCGAGATCGCGGCCAAATCATGAATATTTTCTGCGGCTGTTTAGACATCACCGTCATCTCTCGTGGTCACGGAAACGTTATCGTCGTCGTCCGCGATCACGGCAAAATCATGAACATTTCCCGCGCCTGTGTAGACATCATCGTCGTCTCCCGCGGTCACAGAAACGTCATCGTCATCTCCCGCGGTTACGGAAACGTAATAGTCGTCGTCCGCGATCGCGACAAAATCATGAACAATTCCCGCGGCCAAGCAGATATCATCGTCGTCTCCCACGGTCACGGAAACGTCATCGTCGTCTCCCGCGGTCACGGAAACTTCATCGTCGTCTCCCGCGGTCACGGAAACGTCATCGTCATCTCCCGCGGTCACGGAAACGTCATCGTCGTCGTCCGAGATCGCGGCCAAATCATGAATATTTCCTGCGGCTGTTTAGACATCACCGTCATCTCTCGTGGTCACGGAAACGTTATCGTCGTCGTCCGCGATCACGGCAAAATCATGAACATTTCCCGCGCCTGTGTAGACATCATCGTCGTCTCCCGCGGTCACAGAAACGTCATCGTCATCTCCCGCGGTCACGGAAACGTCATCGTCGTCTCCCGCTGTCACGGAAACGTCATCACCGTCGTCCGCGATAGCGACAAAATAATGAAAATTCCTTGCGGCCGTGTAGACATCATCATTGACTCCCACGGCCACGGAAACGTCATCGTCATCTCCTGCGGTCACGGAAACGTCATAGTTGACTCTCGTGGTCACGGAAACGTCATCGTCGTCTCCCGCGGTCACGGAAACGTCATCACCGTCGTCCGCGATAGCGACAAAATAATGGAAATTCCTTGCGGCCGTGTAGACATCATCGTCGTCTCCCGCGGTCACGGAAACGTCATCGTTGTCTCCCGCGGTCACGGAAACGTCATCGTCATCTCCCGCGTTCACGGAAACGTCATCGTCGTCTCCCGCGTTCACGGAAACGTCATCGTCGTCGTCCACTATCGCGGCAAAATCGTGAACATTTCCCGAGGCCGTGTAGACATCATCATCATCGGCTTTCGCGGTTACGTAAACGCAAGACGACGATCGCGAAAAAATCATGAAAATTCCCGACTTTGAAATCAAATTTAAGACTAAATCCCGACTTTTCAAGACCATTTTGAAATTCAATACTAATTCCCGACTTTCCCGATTTTCCCGACTACTAGACACCCTATTATAGGCTTGATTTCTACTTTCTCCCTATACAGGGTGAGTTTCTACTGACCGTGTTAACTTCGCCAGTGGGTTCTACTCACTAAAAGGAACAAAAAAGTTAATGGGAAGGTATGTCCGAAAATCCATATTTACCCAGATATCCGCCATTTTGTTTTTTATACAAAAATATTTTTATCTGTGAAGTTTTTTATTCGATGATTATGAAACTTAGTAAACATGTTACCATACACAAGACCTATAATAGAAAAAATAATAAAGTTGTTCCGATGGTAAATTTCAAAATGGCGGCCGTTTGAATTTTTCTAACTTAAATAACTCGAAAACGGATAATTCTATGAAAAAATGTCAAGAATACTTTTTTTTAGCATTTTTAATTTCCTATCAAACGATACCAAGTTCAAAAAGATCGGACAAAAGATAACTGAAATAAACCGGTTTTTGTGTAAAAATAAGGCAAAAATTAAGGGTTCCCTGACTAACTTTGCCTTATTTTTACACAAAACCCGTTATATTTCAGTTATCTTTTGTCCGATCTTTTTGAACTTGGTATCGTTTGATAGGAAATTAAAAATGCTAAAAAAAGTATTCTTGACATTTTTTCATAGAATTAGCCGTTTTCGAGTTATTTAAGTTAGAAAAATTCAAACGGCCGCCATTTTAAAATTTACCATCGGAACAACTTTATTATTTTTTCTATTATAGGTCTTGTGTATGGTAACATGTTTACCAAGTTTCATAATCATCGAATAAAGAACTTCACAGATAAAAATATTTTTGTATAAAAAACAAAATGGCGGATATCTGGGTAAATATGGATTTTCGGACATACCTTCCCATAAACTTTTTTGTTCGTTTTAGTGAGTAGAACCCACTGGCGAAGTTAACACGGTCAGTAGAAACTCACCCTGTATATGGAGAAAGTATTGTTTTTGTCAAAATTTCTAAGTTTCAGTTTTAGGTGTATCTATCCATTTTGTATCCTCTTGAACCCAAAATGAGGTTTTCCAAGCGATGTCTGTGTGTATGTGTCAGATTGCTAATACCGTTTATTTAAAAATATTTTGGATCTGAATAGGTATAACCAATTTACAACACACAGGTATGACAATTTACAGGATGCACCTTTGTTCTACATTGCCTGATTTTCAATTAATTAGTTTTTATTAGGCTAATAATGAAGGGAGTTCTCCAACATAGACGTATCTCCTGTTTTAGAAACATACATTTTGATTTTCTAGAATCTGAACCTACAGCTTAAGGTGGGTTCTGAACCACCGGGTAACATAACTGAAAGCAGGATTCGAGTCAGGACCTCAACGAAAGAAGTCCTTAACCACTTGTACTACCGACCTTCTAGCTTTAAAAATAATTGGTTCAATCTTAAATATTTGAACAAATATTGAGCCAAGGGGACAGAGCAATAATAATAATTACAGGGAACAATCTTTTCACTGCAGCAGATACCCAATTTGTCCCAAAATTAGCACTATATGGTAAAGAAACTCCACAGAGCAACAACACACACACACACACACACACAATGCCGCATACAAGGGAAAACAATAAAATGTAACAGGGGGTGATGTTGGGAGACGAAGTGGGGAAAAGTATCTGTTGGGAGAAGCACTGTTATGCATCAAATTCCTACCTGTGTAGATGTTTCATCTGTACTAACTACATTTTTTGTAGGGATGGACGAGATTGGATTTTTTAGTTTGAGACGAGACGAGACGAGATTTTTTATTTCTCATAAAATTTCGAGACGAGATCGAGACGGGATTTCCCTTCTCATACACAACGGGAAATGCACGTTCGGAATTTTTACCTGATTTTGTAACATTGTTAGATGACTGTTTAAATACAAAAATAATGATAATAGGCAAGAATATTTACAATCTTTTATTAAAAAACATCAGCATAACATTTTTTATTAATCACGCCTAAATTATTAAAAATGCCTACGATTAGGAAACATAGTGATATCAGTTAGGATAGAGTTCAACTTTTCCTAAAATAAAATAAATCATAGAATAAAATATTAATTTTTATAAAATAGTTACTTGTTTTGACTTTTTTATAGTAATAAAACATTCCTCACACTGCTAACACTTAACAAAACTTCTCAAATGTGATTAAAATAATTAAAGTAATATTTATACATTTGAAGAATTAATTAAATAAGAACGCCTTCGCAAAGGAAACGCAACTACAACACGCTCCTGTATTGCGGGTATTGCATTGACTTTCTGCAGGCGTTTTTAATTTTTTTTTTTTTTTTTTTTTTTTTTAATTCTCGTCTCGATAAAAATCTCGGCCAAAAAGAAATCTCGTCTCGTGTTACGAGATTTAAAATTTCCCGAAAATTTCCCGAAATTTCGAGACTTGACCATCCCTAATTGTAAATAAAGTAACATAATTAGTTTTTCTGTGTATTTCTGGACTTCTATTATAATTTTCACAATTTTGCAGGAGTTGATAATATTTAGACTTTACACAGCGTAAGCAACTAATTAATCTAAAACTAATACCATAAACCCAAACTTCACTAGCGTTTGTACATTTTGAAAAACAAAAAACACACTTATGACTTGTAATGACTGTATTATAAGAATAATTGAAACATAACCACTAATCTGTCAGCGACAGAATGGGCAGAGACAAAGAGAAAGGAAAAATCTAAAAATCCAGCATTGGATGGGTTGTTTTAAAATATGAACATCTAGATCCATGTTCCACTGGTTGGATTGCTGTGTAATATACAGGACTAAAGCACATCTATATCTCGCATGTAGTGAGACTAACCTCGTGATGTCTTGTAGGATCCACGACGGCCGAGGGACCGGCCCGGCGAAGCTCCTCTACTCTCGTCTCCCATGTCTGCAACAAGCACAAACATGCCACACTCACACCAACACCAGACCAACTGCACACTGCCCCTTTATCTGATCAAGTTAACTTTTTTTGTTGAGGTCGATGCTACTGAGCAACGAAGCTGATAACTTCACGTTTTAAAGCAAGCCAAATTCGTACTCGACTCATATTTTAACTGAAAAGGGCTTTATTTATCTTTCACAGAATAAATAATGCTTAAAAGCTTGTTCAACAAATTTAGAAATGTTAAAAACTATTTTTAAATAAATATAAATTGAGAATGGCATGAATTAGGAAAGACCATACCAGTCTTCTGATTGATTCAATGACAAACAATAATGCATACTGTATTTAAATTAACTTTTATATAAGCGTTTCCTGTTTGGGACAACTTTAAAACAAATATGATTGCATAGTATTAGATCAAATGTTATATGTTTTATCTTTGATTAGAGGTAATAAAATGTTTATGTGTAGATGAATTGAAAAAAGAAAACTTCAAGCTACTCTCAGCTTTTAAATCAGTAGACTTGGTCACATTTTTTATCTAAATTCTAAACCCATATAATACTTTTTACTTTTTAGCATAACTTTAAACATTTTGAATTCAAAGAACCATTAGAAGATATCAGACTAGAAAACGAATGTGCAGTTCATCTAAATATTCCCAAAAACCTCAACAAACTAGCTCATGTAAAGCCATTACTTTTACAAGTTTTAGACTGTCGTACAAAAAGATAAATGCAAGTTAAAAAACCACACTTCATATGAACATTATGACTTTTGTGTTGGCTCTGTTTGAAACTTTGAGTTCAAAATAGCTAATGATCAAGCAAACAGGTGGCTCATCTTTAGGAGCAGCTGTAATACTTTACTTAGAATCACCAGGCTGCTTTGACTTGGTAGCTATAAATATTTATTTCTTCTTCCTTAGAGCACCTTATTGGGATAAACTAAGATCAAGGTGATATGGGTACGGATGAATTGGCAAGGCCTATCACTTTACAATTAGAGGAATATTATATTATATAATATTTGACAAAGGCCTTTCGATTTAACAAACACAACTAGATCGGCTAAATACTTAAAAATTTTAATGATTTCTTTTCTTAGTCAACTAGTTTTTACGACAGTTGTTAGTGGGTTTAGTTTACGGAACTTGAACTTCATGAGCTAATCAGTTGAGGCAGCACAGAGAAAACACCAATGTATAAACTTTACATCTTAGTTAACGAAAACGGGGGTGTAACAGTGTTGAATGCAAACACACAACAAACACAGGGTTGGCGCAAGCACAACACTTACCAGTGAAAAGCAGACAAACTGGTCGGTCTACTTTAGTACCCGACTTGAGAACCAAAAATATTACTTAGTAGAACACTGTACTAGTAAATTCTACTTTCTTTTCACTCTGTAAATACTTTTTTTACTATACTTTCTTATACGTTTGTGACTAAATACTTATTTTTTTATCTCAAGTCAAACATTATTGTTACTTCAAACACAATAAAAAAGTAACAAAATGACACCGAACATTTACATTGATCCATTTAACATTGGTCCTTTAATTCTAGCTCAAACATTCTTTGGTTGGAAATTCTGTTGGTGACACTGAAATATTATGCTTTTTTTATGGTGGAACTTATTGCGTTCATTATGCCACACTGGACTTTTTATTACTATGGTAGGTTTACCAGATCTGGCAGAATCGCTATCCAAACAAAAAATCAATATATTGTGAAGAATATAGTTTTAGTATAGTGAACCAATAAAGAGTTTTTTCCCTTATTTTTTCAAATTTATTTTCAAAAGTAAATATTTAATTCTTCACCAACAATAACACTTTCTAAATGATGAAAGTGATTTTAAAAAGTAAAAATTTGTTATCCCTTAATCAGGGCATAAATTAAACACGTGACGTCTCCTACAAAGCTTAACAGCACAAAAAATTAATAACAACTTAATCGTCTCTTTTGTGAAAATTGCAAATACTGCAAGCGTGTTAGTCACCACAAGATTTACACATTGCTCTGTGCTTTTGATCGCGTCCATACCTGATATGGAAGCCGACGTCCTGCGAGTTTCAGCCAAACAGTCCTGTGATCCTCGGTAGTAGTCCCTTCGCATCGTGCTAGGAGGACTAAACACTGTTGCCAACACAAAATAACCACTCAACACAATGACAACAACTACAGTGTAAAGTAAAATGATCAACAAATCTACTCAAAATAAAAATAAAATCATAAAAATAATGGCCTAAATAAAATTCAAATTATAAAACCTAAATTCTGGTCGAAAAGGAATTTTCTTGAAAGATTTTTGAATGCAATGAGTATAGAAAAACTTTTATAAAATATAAATAATAAAAACAACTAAAATGAAAGCAAATACAGTTAAAATTGATATTTTAGGTTGAAAACACAGTACAGGTAAATTTAAGGAGAAAAGAAATTAAGTAGGTACAGAAATAGTTTTAAATTCAAAATTTGATGTGGGTAATAAAAGGTGAAGAGACCAAAATGTACCAGTAACTACAAGAAATTGTTTGGAATAAAGTGTAAAGAGTGAAAATAGCTTTAAAGATATACATTCCTCTGTTTGTAGCTGAATAGATTTATTACATATATGCATTGAATCAAGGCTGCCTAAAATTTGTTATTGCAGACACTTTCATTTCTAAAATATACCACTTCCGGCCCTACCGCAGCAAACATGTATACTTGGTGAATTTCTATTTGCCTGATTTGATTTTTACTTAAATATTTCCTCAAACATATAAGATTGAAACATTAGGTTTAACGAGTACTTAGGTATATCTATAAGGAAGGAAAGAAGTATTTTTTTATGTTAATAGTATAGTATAAAATTAATAACTGTGCCAAATATTGTCAAAATATATCAATAAACAAAGAAATTTACCTCTGATAAGATAAATAAGACTTATCAACTTTCAAATCAGCATGTAAGTTGTTTTTAGCTATGAAACTTTACAAAACACATTTCCACTCCTCTTCCAAGTTCAAAGACAAATTTACGAGTGCAACTCCGATCCTCAGCTACAAACAGTGAAAGCGCAACAGTTGAGTGAAGGAGGTGACCAACGTACGTCCTGAGCAACGAGCTACTCACCAGACAGGTTGGAAGAGGAGCCCTTCTTGCCCCGACTGGGTGTAAGAGCCCCGTCGTGGGAGTCAGCCCCGCTGTCTATATGGATAGTCTTGGGCCTTGGTCGGGGGTTGGTCTTGCCCCGCATTCTCGGTGGCTGTGGTGTTGGATTGCCGCTTGACCCTCCCTTCAGCGAGTTCAGCAAGTCTTTGTCTATCAGCTTACCCTGCAAGAGCGAAGGGTGGTTAAAAACAATTTACTTTTAATTTTTAAAATACAATAGAACTCCTTGTCATGTAACGTCAACAAGGCAAACTAGTAAGACTGACCTACTCCTGCTGACCTTCAAGCAGTATATAACCTTGTTTAAATCTATGTATATTAACCATTGGCAATTTTAAAGATTTTTGTAAGGGAATGGTCCAATCCCCTATATTTTTGCAATCTAAGATCAATCTTTTCTAGATGGCTAATGTCAAATGCCATCTGGGCCTACAGTCAATTTCATTTGAGAACAAACCTCCATCCTTCAGATTTAAATACAAGCTTTATCACTTGTTCACAAACGTCATGCATAGAGTAGCCAATTAATCATTCAAGTCTCGTTCAACTGTAAGAGTGTTTTTGTCACAAGAAACCCATTTCCCCCTGGATTTTGACCCTACACCTTTGCTCCTCTAATCTTATCTTGTTTTGAGTTCTGGCCACAAGTTAGTGAGCTCTTACAATCTTTTACACTATATGACTAATATAACTATTTAAAAATAACTATGTTAACTAAATATAATAATATCCAATACACACACACTACACTAGGAAAAGGTTCATGCTAATAAAAGCAGCCTTCTATGTAGAAAAATTTTACATCAAATGCTTATAGCAATAACTGATGTCGCGTTAATTAATAATTGATTTCTCACCTCTCTTTCAGCCTCTTCGATGGCCTTCTTCAGTTTGTACTGATCCAGAATAGCAGCTCTTCTTGCTTTCTCTTCCTCCTTTTTCCGTGTCTTTTCTTCTTCTTTCAGCTTTTCAGCTTCTTTCCGTCTTGCCGCTTCTTGTTCTTTCCTCGCCTTCATCTCTTCCTGGGCTTGTCTTCTGGCCAATGACATCATCAGGATCCTCTCTTTTTTCCTTTCCATTTCATCCAGAGCAGTCTAGAAAATGTTAGGTAAAGTTATACCTTTGACTATCAATACAACTTCAGTATCTAATAATCAATGGTTATACTTAACTTAATTCTGTTCTTATTCAAAAACCTAGTGGCGCCTCTGAGTAATTTGAATGATAAATTAGTAGCCTAAGGTTTACAGGGTGTCTAGTTTATTTCCATTTTAAAACTTAAGACTAATGCCAGACTTTTCAAGACTAGTTTTTTTCAATAATTATACAAATGGAAAAATCTAGTGACCAATATTAGTGTACTGTAGGTTAATATATGTGAATGCTTGATGTGAAATCTGTGCTTGCATACCTTCAATTTGAGACCTCAATCATGAAAATCGGTCAGGTAGAAGAACCAAACAAACGTGTAAAATAAAAACCAATTTTTTTAAATATATAAGATAAAAAATAAGATCTTAAACAATGTGTATCAATAGCTTTGACCACTAAATTACATTAAATGACATATCATTTTACATCATAGGGACTACAACATAAATATGCAGGCATACATTAACTTTCCATAAATCAGATGTACTTGAGTTTTGTATATTTTACTGCAAAAATTAATAACAATTAAAAGTGACAAGAACTTACAGGGTCAGGGTTGGCCAGCTCTGTACCAATGACAAGACCGACACCTGACTGTGATTGGTCGTCATGGTGGGGGTGAGGTACCCGTGGTGGGGGGGAGTGTGCAGGCGGGGGTGACGGAGGTGTCTGCTTCATTTCACTCTTCAACTCCTGCTTCAGCACTTGAGTGATGGTCGGCTCAACAACCTGGGTGACACCTCGTTCCTGACGATAAGTACAGATTTGTAAGATAAGTACGATTCGATTTGAGGTCAAATGTGTAGGATAGAGCAGAAGAATCTATGTATTACAACTTTTTGTTATAATAGCAGGCTTAACTGGACAAAAAAGAGTTCACTCCAGCAAAAAAAAAAAAAAAAAAACTTGACACTCCATACATATACCAAAATAATAATATTTATCTCCCACTGAAAACATTTTCAACCAAGTTTGTGTTAGGAAAAGAGATCTACTTGTAATTCTGGGTAGTTTTAATGAATTAGTGTTTATAGTTTGAGATCAGTTACTTATTCCTCATTTTAAAACCATAATATTTTTGTTATTTTGAGATAACATTTAAGTGAATTATTTTTATTTATAATTTGTAACTTTTTTTTACTAAATACAAAAAAATTAACAAGTAAGGTACTATTTTATTGAACATGTTTTAGTTTACCAAGTGATGCAACTACAGTTAGCAGTACTAGTAGTCTACTGAACAGGAGCTCAGTGGGGTTGTCATAGGCTCACAAGCTAAACATTGCCACACTATTTTATCACTACAAACCACCACTGGCTTTCTCGTGTAGGTCATGATAAATGTTACACTTAAAAAAAAGTATACTAAGACTCTGTGGGCCAAGGAAAACTAACAACACAACTAACTGTTTTTACATCCTATAAATTTCATTAAAATTAAATCATATCCAAATGCACTTCTATAACAATTAAACCAAAAAATAGTGCCCTATTCACCATCTTCTACAGATTTATCAATTGTTTTTTATAATGTTCAAAATCCACCTTTAATTCCATACCTTTTTCGGTGAATTCCTTTTCACCCTGAGCGGAGGTTTGGGCTTTTTAGGCGCCGTGTCATCGTCAAATGAGATGTAGAAGCCTTTCTCGGGTGTGGCTCGTACAGCAGGTGGTGTCGGAGAAGAGAAGGAGTTTCTTGACAAAGGCGCGTGCGACCGCGTAGGCGAGGGTATACGATACGTGCGTGTGCCTGAAGTGATGTTCATACGGTTCAGACCAGCTGACAGCTGATCTTCCTCACTGGAACCTATGTTAAACAGATTGAGCCAATCAGACTATTAGGGTAAACAGAAAATTATAAAAGCTTAGGTTGATAAATAATTGTGACTTGATAGTGATTTGGAGTGCGACTTAATCTATCTATCCGTTGCTTAAATTTCAAACTTTAACTGAGAAAACAAGCATTTCCAACTAGATATACAATAATAGTACAGCCCTTAAATTTATATATATACAGTACTTGTAGATGTCCTTAGGCTAAGGTGAGCATTGTAGTAAGAAAATAAACAAAAGTTATTTAAGGATCTTTGTTGGATAGCCTGCTTATTTGAAAAGGAGAGATCCTGGCACAAGAGGAAAAAACCTCACACTACGCACAGTTATAAGACTGTAAATGAAAACATTTTATTGAGGATCACTTCAATCACCTAGGTGGTGTCCCCAACTTAAATAATTGATAGTTGATATGATAATTAGGAAGCACTTAGCTCAAACCTGCCTTGTTTAAAAATGCATTCAATAACATTAGTTATTGTGTATAGGCCCATTGGAAATGAACATTTCTTGATTTTGCCTCCACGGTTGACACAATGACTATAATATACGTTATATACTTTTTTCTTTATCAATCCACAATCTATCAGTTTATAACCAATTTGTGACCACTATTGCTTCATTACAAAAACACAGCATAGAATAGTTGTGTTGTAACTTGTAACCTTACGTGCATTCAGTCATTGTCGGACTTAATTTGTTTTATTTGGTTGGTTAATTAATGTTAAAAGATTATATTGATTTTATTGAACAGAGTGCAATACACTTAATTGATATCGGAAAACTTTTTACTTCAAGCTTTCTGGAAATAAAAGTCGCTCTAAAAAATCTGTATTGCATTTGTATTTACCAATGAAGGATATGCTCTGAGGCTCCATATCATCCACTGGCGGGGCTGGTAGAGGTGCGTGAGTGACACGGCGGGGAGGAGGGGTAGGTGGTGGGGGGCTGGCAGAGCCTCCCCTACCTTCCATACTGCCATTGTGGTGTAGATGGAAACCCCCTGTCTGTGGTGAACTGCTCAGAGATACTGGCTGGTTGTGACTGTAACACACTCATAAACATAAGAGATCATACTTAAAATGGCATGAGTTTCTTAATTTTCCCCAAGGGACATATTTGCTGGCCCCTAATTCTGTTTCTGAAAACAATTACACCGACACGGACAAATAAAAACTGATTTTAGGATCACAGGGATGGAATAGTGAAAAAGAGTCAATGTTTTAAGTATTTTTGTGAGCATAAAAGGTTTATTTTCAAATGAGAAAGAGTCCACTATGGCACAAGAGACGCACAACTTTACACTGTACACAATTAGAATGTTTCAGTCTCTGAGAAAATTTGCAATCGAGGAAGGTTTGAATTGGCCAGTTGAAGCCTTCCTAACGTTGAAAATGCTGTACTGCAGTCTATTATTTTATTGTTCCAGAGTGGGCTCTTTCCCATTCAGGTAAGCCTGATACTCCCACCCCATTTAATATCTGATTGAGATTTTTATAACAAAACCACATTACATTTTATAGTGCAATACTATCAAAACTGACCTGTTGTTCCAGTGGTTCCTGGGTTGACTGACAGTGTTGCTCCATGTCCGTTTCTCAGGTCCATGTAGGTAGAACTCCCCTCCTCCTCCTGTCATCTCAGGCTGCACCCCTCGCAAAAGTTGGTTTACTTGCTGTTGCTGCTGCAACAAACATGTTTGTTGTTAATCTCTCATAAAGTAATAAATTTATTTGCACTTTAGGCAGTCATTAGATGCATTGACTTTTTTAAGTTGGTTAATGGTGAAAAGCAGAAAACATCGGTACTTTTCCGTGTTTAAATTGTTACCAAAGTATTACTTTAATTTTTTATATTAAAAAGTTCCTTACTTGTTACTTAGGTCTACTCATTAGACATATTTGAAAATTGAAACTTCAGTAGTTCCAGATTACCGAACATGTGAAATTAAGGAGTGCAATCTAAGTCTATTGAACATGCTTGGGAGTTTTTTCAGAGCCTTTAGACTGATGTTGCACAACTGATTATGACTGATGAGCGTTAATAAATGTTTAGCATTTTTGGAAGCCTTCTTGGCGAGGTTTTACTATGGATGTTGTATTTGCTTCACCAAATGGTTGTCTAATACTAATAGCATACAAGTTATGCTCACCTGTTGTTGCTGATGCTGCGGATGCTGTTGCTGATGTTGTTGCTGATGCTGCGGATGCTGTTGATGTTGTTGCTGATGGTGCTGCTGCTGATGACCAGGATGCTGATGTATCTGATGCTGATGCTGAGGCACTGGAGGAGGAGGTCCACAGTACATACCATTGTCAGGGTACTGTGGCTGGTATTGCCTCATCGCAGGCTGAGGAATGGTGTTGTAATGGTTCACGGCGGACTGCTGGTTCATCAGACTGTGCATCTGTTGACAATGTAATGGTCATCTTTGATTTCAAACAAACAGATACAAGTATTGGATTATTTTGTTAATTCACTACTACTTAACGTCATATGAGACAGAAGCAATGTAAACATATAAAATATATATCTTCATTATAATTTATAGAGTTTAAGTCATTAGTTATAAGCATTGGTTTTTGGACCAACTGTCGCCAACCTTTTATTCAAATGGGACAAATAGTTCAATGAACCTTTCACAGCGTGAGCTGTTATCAAAATTCTCTTTTCTACCTAAGCTGTTGGGACATCAGATATTGTTATGGCTAACGATGAGTTGTCCTTTTAGTTTGCCTGGTTAAAGGTTGGCATATTCAGTAATAAATAATTGACATCAATGTTATATTGGTAGATTAATTTAAAAACTTTATTTCTGATCTTAAATAGCCTACAACCTTAACATAAATGGTAAGTCTACTCCTATTGATAGGCGAAGATGTAAGTAGAAAACTTTTAATGCAATTGTTTAACAGGGTTATACATATATATGTGGACTAAACCTAGCATTATTTTGTATAGAAACTTGGCTAGTACCTGCTGTTGCTGGTTGACAAAGTTGTTATGGTGGCCATACATCGCCGGATGTTGTTGTTGTTGAGGAGGCGGTGGCGAGGGCTGGCTCACCAGGCTGTGCCAGGGAGGGTTGTTATACAGAAGGCTGTGAATCTGCTGCTGTCCACCACCACCGCCATACACACCACTGCTGCCGGCGCCACCGCCACCGCGACTGTTCACAAAATTGTTCTGAAGAGTGGCAAAGCTTTGCATCGGCTCACTGCCGTCCAGCTGGTTGATCCTTTGGATGTCGGATTGGATTTCATGCAGACTAGAGTTCATTCTAGAACAAGCAACAAAAGCCATGCGACAGATGTAACAGGCAGCTTAGCAGATACACTATGGTAAAATATTTTTAGCATTGAATCAATTCCCTGATAAGAAAAAAATATGGTTCTAATTTCACAGCATTAAACAAATTAATATTCGCTAATAACATTTCAACTGCATTCACACTAATTAAACTGCAACAAACAAAAAAGAAATTGGCTTTCTTAATATACTGTAAAAGCTATTCTACTATTTGACATTCCAATTTTAAAGAAAAATGTGGCCCAAGTAAGGATAGCGAGAAGCATTTATTACCAGCAGGGAAAAACAAATTACAACAAACTTTGCGCCATTCCTTTTTTTTTATAAAAAAAATTACATTGACTTCAGACCTATACTATCAAGTTGCAAAACATATTAAGAAATCATAAATTAAATATGTATTTTTAACTACTTAAGTTAAAAATATATATTGTTGTAGACAACTTTGATAGAATTTTAAACTATCAACATAACATAACCTTATTTAACAGCTCTTTAATTCCAATAATAAAATTCAACATAAAATAAGATAAACAATTGAGCTGACAACAGCGTCTGTCAAAACTCAAAATGAAGCTAGGCAACAAATGCTGTAAATATTCAATAGAATGTGATGTATAATTTCCAAAACTAATTACCCTGTAACTGTACGGACCTATTCCAAACAAACTGTTTTTTGACCTTAGCATACACAACAGAATATTTCTACTGGTTTCTTTATAATTTTTTCATCACAAGCTAATTTGGTATTGGTCAAATTCACCCTCAGTCAAGAATCTTGGTTAACGGTACCAGATTTTGAACCCTCATTTACATCAAGTCAGAGAGCAGCATATTATAGTTTCACTGTGGTTGAACAGTCCAGATCCAGAACTAAAGCACCTAAGATTAGTTTTCACAATGTTAACTACAGTAAACTAGTGTACTACTCACTGAGCTATTGATTTCTGATACGCCTCCATATCCATACTGTCAATGTCAGGTGTCTTCCTCTCTTCCGTAAAACTTTCTCCCAGCCACTTTTGTTCAACTTCTGAAATATCCTGGAGAAAAAAGAGAAATTAAGATCACATGTTTTTTAATGCAACAACATAATTTTTTCAATTGTCAAAAGTCAATTAAAAATTTGTATCCTTATCTCTTAGCAAGAATTAAACATGTTTTGGATTTAAAATTAAATAATTACCTCAAAAATTCCTCTCACAAGAATTATTATTTGAACTCATAATAGCATGGAGTGTAAACCATTGTAAGCCTCAAGTATTTTACTAATTATAAAAATAAAATAGTATTTGCAATATATAATGTTAACTAGACAAACCAAGTAAAATATAAAAATAATTATCTCAGCTAATAACTTAATAAATAAACCAACAGGAACCAAATACATCTGGTTTATACATTATGTACATCTATGTGTATTCAATATTTACAATACATCAGTAAGTAACTTTACTATAATTCCCTACTTTCAACAGATAAAAATATATGAATTTGAATTTTCATTTCTAAAAAATTTCATTAAAAACAAAGCTCTTGATTTTTGATTGACAAAAGCTTTTCTGTACATTAAAAATAATTACTACTGTTCAGTTCTTTTATCAACTAATATTTTTTCTTTAGCCTTTATTTAGAACAGCTGATGTTTAAAAAACGATTCAAACTGTATAAATAAATATTATTGATTTCTGTTCTTCTTGAAAACATGACTTATTTTATTTCTCTCTAATAATTCATTTTTATTCACAAACACTCCACATTATTTAATGGTCCTTCGAGCCGGATATTACTTAAGCGATTTGGAATATTACACACATCCACTAAACTCTTCTTACATCTATATTTCCTCATTTTACCCATTGTTTTCTGTGCCTTTGAACTCTTACCTAACTGAACTCTTATTTCCATATTGAAACCTGTTAACTCTCTCATTTACACTTTTTGAATTTTTTACATTTATCTCATCATCTTTGTACAATGGCATCTCCAAATAGTGATTTTAAAATTGACACTTATACACGACTCACATCTTTTATAAAAACTCGTCTCAACGAAATAAGAAACATCGTAGATCAACATGTTGAACAAGAAGAAACATTAACAGTTGTGCAACACGAAGCCTTAAAGACTCTCATGCAAGAAACCCAGAAGAAGAAAGAAGACTTTGATTTTTATTTTTATCGAATTGTAAGTACATCAAGTGAAGATGATTTGAACATTGAAACTTTAGCTGAAGATGAAGACCAAATCAGTGAACTATTCATCCACATCACCAGCTACATTAAAGTGCTGCTTTCAAAAATTGGTTCTAACCCTTATTTGGCCAAGGTTAATTTCAGTTCAGCTCAACCTCATAGAACTACTGCAGTGCATGTAATCAAACCGAACTCATCAAGTCAGTTTCAAATCAAAGGCAACGACATTATACAACCTGGAACAAAACTCATCACAATAAAGAGGCCAGTGACAATCACAATACCTAAGTTCGCAAACACGATGATTAGAAATACCACAAAGACAGTGACAAAACCTCAACCAACGAATACAGATACAACAGTGAGCTCAACTACCTTGACAAGTGACAGTGCTGATCAACCAACTAATACAGATACAACAGTGAGCTCAACTACCTTGACAAGTGATAGTGCTGCCATCCAACCTACCAACATTGCTGTCATCCCAAGAGACAGTATTGTTATCCATCCTACCGATAATGATACCACCCATCTTACCGATCGTGTTGCTGTTAAACCAACAGACAGTGCCGTCGCTAACACAACCGAGAGTGAAACCACTACAGCAAAGACAGTCAAGCAATCCAGTCAAGTGGTTGTATCTTCCGATGAAGATCTGGACAAAGGCTACTCTTCATCACAAACTACAGAGGAAGCGGTCATCCTCCAATCTCAACTTGTTGAATTATTGAAACAAGAGTACTTTGAATTGAAGAAATGTGTTATGAACTGTCAAGACGTGTTCACTTCTGTTACTCAATCTCATCATAAAACACCAAAGTTCCTTCAAAACTCTGATGCTCAACATTTCAAAGAGCTAGGACTTCGGTGGTCTCCAGCAACAGTTTTTAAGGTGTTTCCCAGCAAAGATGGTATAGGTTGAAAAGGAGAAGTAGAAAAATGCAAACAGATGCTATAGCCGGCCTACAACAAACTTTTGTGTTAGGTAATGTGTTTTGTTCTAAACTAACTGTTGAAGTGAGGACACTTCAAGGCCGGGAGTATGTTCAGTTCTTTTATCAACTAATATTTTTTCTTTAGCCTTTATTTAGAACAGCTGATGTTTAAAAAACGATTCAAACTGTATAAATAAATATTATTGATTTCTGTTCTTCTTGAAAACATGACTTATTTTATTTCTCTCTAATAATTCATTTTTATTCACAAACACTCCACAACTACAAATATTCTGTTGGGCCTATTATTAATTTCAATTGTTACAAGTTGTCAAGGTCAACACTGTTACAGTCGCTCACTCACCTGGAGGGAGAAGGGGCGTTGCGGTTTGTCGCCCAGTTCACCCATCTCTCCATTGGTCTCTCGGCCCGGGTCGGACTCTGGCGACTTGACACTCTTGCCCGAGCCCTGTCCCTACCATCAACACAAGTCATGCGCCCGCCACCAAGCTAGCACACTAGCCTATGCTACACTAAACTAGGGTGGACAGATTTGGTACACGGGGATTATAAAATGCCTTTTATAATTTGGCATTTAATTTTATAATTGTGGACAGTTAATGTTGGATCCACGGTTCATTTTATTAGGGTCACCAGGAGAATTCCATGAGCTTTAAGGTTTCTGGGGAAGTTTTAAAAGAGTTAAATATATTTTAACCACCACAAAAATTATGAATTTATTAATTATATTGAGTAATTTTCCAACAGCTAAACTGTTAGACAACTAACTAGTGAACCCGTGCTGCTCATCGCGCCGCAAAACAACATATCAATTTAGAAAACAAATCCATCGTGTTATATATTGATTCTAAGTCGAAAATAAAATACAGTAATGAATGAAGCCTTAGATGGAAAGTAGAGAATCCATTTTCTATCCTATTTTATTTACAAAAGTACTTCCTTGAATAACTTACTAAGTTTTTAGTTGTGAAATCAATCACCTTCAGGAAAATTATACTGGTCAGAATTTTCCGCGATGAATATGGGTACACCATCAAAATATGTAGCCCTACTTAAAGCAACATAAAGCCCATGACTGAAAACTGGTCTGGGTAAGAGCAGTGCTACTCTTTTAAGTGATTGCCCTTGTGCTTTATTGATTATCATTGCAAATGATAAAGCTAACAGAAATTGGCAGCTTTCCATTTTCAATGGTAAGTTTGTTTCCAACGGGCACATTTTTATCCTCGGAATCAAAATATGTCCCCTCTCACTTGTTCCAGTTAGGACTTTTACATTCTATTAAATTGTTAACCATTTTGGCCACTTGGAGTCTTGTTCCATTAATGAGGCCCTTCTTGGTGTATTGATATTCCTCATCAATAAAACCATTGCCCCGTTTTTAAATCAATCTGTGTCTTGGCAATCCACCGACCTCCATATTGTTTAAAAACTCTGCTGGGCATTCTAGATGGGCGTTTAAATTATCTCCAAGCAAACTATAAATGATTTCGAACACCTTGGGCTCAGCTGGCAATTTTTTCAAGACTTTGTTGTTGATCAAATCGCAGTCACTGTTTTTGGAGCTATGGCTTTGTCTTTCATTTTGACCATTTTGTATACTTTCAACGACGTTTGGTTGGATGAAATCATCAGCGTATCCAACTCCAAGCATTTTTGCTGGCAAAATGGGGAATCCATCAGCTTCCTATCAGCTTTAGCCTATTTGAACTCTTTAATTTCCTGCTCGTGTACGTATTGCGTCATGAAGTTTCATATATAGCTCTGCTCGAAGTTTTGACTGTTCTCTATGAATGAAACCGAGACGTTCACCTTCAATTCTGGTAAAAATTTCAACTATATATTGAAGTTTAACCTTACCACCACAGCAGAATACTGAAGCCTAACAGATAGCCTGTGGGCCTCCGGTGTGTAGTTGTCGAGTCGATCCCTCCATAAGGGAAAAGCAAGGGATAGGCTATTGTATCAAGACCTGAACAATGTGCAGCCAAATCTTCTGGGGTCCCATTTTTAGGATAGGTACACAACAAATAATTTAAAAAAATTTGTATTGAAACAAACATGAATTAGTAGTATAGGATTTGTTTTGTTTTGATTTATAAATAAATTGTCTGGTAGATCAGCTGTTTCGTGTCAAATTAATGAATGTCAAAGATTTGTGATTTTAAATAGGTATTACAGTAGCCTACGGTTTTGTAAATCATGGTAACTTTTTCTCAACTAAATTTTACTATTCCCAGCTTTAAAATAAAGTAGTATGATCCATTATTAGTATACTTTAATATACATTGGTTACCAAACGTGATAACATTCAATATACATTAACAGTCATAATAAACACTAATTTTTTATGTAGTAGACTTTGACTATTTTCAACTAAAAACATATGTTTTTATAAATTAAAAATATCTCCCATGTTATCCTTATGGAGAAAAAACTGACTTTAAGGGCCTCTGACGCCCTTACCAACGACTTTATCAAAAATCTAATACCGTTGGGCACAACTACACGTTTTAACCTTTATTTTGAGACCTCTAACGTCAAAATTGGGCAAATAATAACGGAGGAGTTCGATTAACAAAAAACGGCTTAGCCTATTATATATATAGATAGATACTCTTTCCCTTTCCAACAAAAAAACATATCTGCGTCTTTACTTTTAAAATGGTTGGATTGCATGAAATGTATCTAAAAGGCAAAAAAAACTTTAAACCATGTTCCACTCAATAAAGTATGTTATGTTCCCTTTTGAAACGTAAAAAAGCGCCATTGGAGTAGCATGGAAACAGAAACAGATACAAAATAGACTCGATCCAGAATATTAAGTTCAAATACTGATTCATATGTTATATGTTTCATATGTTACATATGTTATATGTATGCATACACTATTGGTATTTTCTAAAGCTCTTTTAAAAGGCCCGATTCAAATCTTGGTTTTTAAAACTTAAAAAAGACTTAGTTCATATTTTAGGTGTACAAGAATTATAGAATATAACATTTTGCTATTATAATAGGTACTCTTTTTGATGAATACTATAGCCAAATAAAGTGTGGGTCACTTAAAATATGTTTAAAAAGGGTTTATTTTAAAATCTGACCACTCTAGGTAAATGCTTGGAATTGGTGTGATTGAGAAGTTCCGGAACGGTGTAATATATTACATACAATTATAGATAAAGTAATGAAACTTGGCAAATTAATTAAACTATCTACTCTTTTAACCTATTATTACTCTTTTATCCCTTAAGGGAGTCGGCCCACGAGGAGTCAGACGAAATTCTTAGATAGCAGCATAGGTCAAGTTTGGTATCATATTTAAGGACTCCGTTAGAAAAAAAAATATATTACACCGTTCCAGGACTTTTCAATCACAATTCCATATTATGTTACTTCAATTTGATAAAGTGCAACAAACAAATAAATCTGAGATGAAACTAAATTAAGGCAAAATATATCTTTAATTTAATGGTAAAATAATTCACTCAATAAACTAATGATGATGATTTATATTTTTTAAAGACCTGAGATAAAAATTATGTATATAGAATTTCATTTCAATTAAATGTTAAGTGTTCTTAAATAACTTCAAAATATAAAATCAATCATCCCATTTTGACTACTGTAATAGATACTTTGTTAGACCTTGTAATAAACCTTTCCCGGAAACAATGTGAAACTATTTCTATAAATAATCAACATAGTACTTGGAATGAAAAAAAAACAGAAGTATTCAAGAAAGAAACATCATAAATAAATCAATAACTTTAAAAACTGAATAAAAGTAAAAGATTCAAATCTACAAAAAAAACTCAAACAACCAATTCTAGACATTAAAAAGATGAAACAACTTGCAATCATGCATTTAAAAAATGATCCGATTGAAGCAACTTTGTGGTACATTTATTTGATTTTTTTTTGTTTGTTTAGAATTTAATTTTTTGTTTTTCCTAGGACACTAGGCTCTAGCCTGGGATCGTTTTTTCACATTACTTTTTCAGGCTAAGCCTGTGGGCTGCGGCACTATAACTTGGATAACATCCATTGATGAATTGGCAGGATTCAAATCCGGGACTAATGTTCCGTTTTCTACCACAAGACCAGCTCGCTCCCCTGTCTGGGATACTGTAAATTTACAATTAAATATATTCTTTTAGAACAATTTTTGAGTTTTATAGTTTTTAGGGTAATTTGTGAAACAAGAATTTTGAAAGCTACCTACAAAAAAACTTTAGAAATAAGCCAATTAAAATTTTGCTACCTAATAAAAACAGAATTTTTCAAATCCAATCCTAAAATGTGCGACTAAAGCATAATGTAAAATTAAAACACCGCAAACCAGTGCTCTCCAAAAGTGCTTGCACTACAACCTAACTACTACTAAGAAGTGCAATACACAGAGATGCTTGTCTTTGTTTCAACATTTACAACAAAACACAATCTCAAATCCAACTTACTTTGGTAACAGCCTGGAAAAATGCAGCTTTTCCAAGTTTTTGTCTTTGCCTGTCCATCATCGTCTCCATTTTTCTCTTATCACTTTCAATTCTTCTTCTTTTCTCTTCTAATTTTAATCTTACGTTGAGCAATTGTGAGTTCATAACACCCTGATCGCCAGTACTCTCTGTAAAAAATGTCTTGTTTAAAATAAATATGTTTAATGAAATTGTATAGTAATTTAAATATAGCTGTCATACCCACTCAAACTCTAAAAAAAAATCATTAACATAACAATTTTGTGAGAACCATTTACTTTCAGTATTTTACTCTTGAGTGTTTGAGATAAAAAAATTTATCGGAAAAGTATGCACATGAGAAGTTAATGATTTGAGTCTAGAAAGAAGTTAAACGACCCCCCAGTCAAGGGAATAACGTACTGGGACTGAGATCATCTATTGTCCTCCCACTTTCAGCTCCACATTTTTCCCAGATCACACCCTCCACCCTGCAATACCAAATAGGTAATTTACAAATGTGAGCAGTTAGTAGGGTTCCAAGTGGATATGTCTCAAATAACTATCTGATGCATTTAAATAAGTTTTTTTTTAGGGGGGGGGGGAAACTGCCCAATACGCACACAGGTAGCCAGCCTCACTATAAAACCCCCTCTACTCTGTTGGACACATACCTGGAATTATTTGTCATATTACTTCAAGTCAAGAAAACATGTGACTTAAGCCCTCAGGGCTCGCACCGTTTCTGGCATTTAGATTCTTTATGACCTACACCGCATCCCGGTGAAGGTTAAGCTTCTTGGCACGGAGGATACCCTGGATGTAATGTAACACATAGGTCCAATTGTCCTCACCCTCTGTCACCAACGGTATGACCGTGTCCTCCAACAGCAGTCCTAAAAACTGTAGAGCCTCCAGGAGGGGCCTTTCCCAACGCTGGTAGTGGAGAAAAGTATGTTCCACGTCATCGGGAATGCCTGGGCAGTATATGTAATCGGGTGACACGCCTTTGCCAACCCTGAACAGGTACGACCGGAAAAAGCCATGACCCGTTAGAAATACGGGGAGGTAGAAGTTCACCTCTTTGCACTGCTGATTAACCCAAGGTTGGACTTGCTATAGCAGTCGCCTGGTCCAGCGTCCCCGTGTCTCCTGTTCCCAGCTCTCTAGCCCGCAGCTGGTAGGTTCGGGTGCGTTTCTCTGTTCGTGCCTGGTCCTCCCCACAGCCATGATAAATTGCCTTCCTCTCCGCCACCAAAAGTTTGACGGGGATGACTCCAGCAACCACCAGGACGGCGGGTTCGGACACTGTTCAGCAGATGCTGTATGCAGATGTTACCCTTAGAGCTGCCTGACGCTGCACTTGGGCGAGACACATCCTATATACCTCCTTATTGAGAGCGTCTGCCCACACCTCCGCACCGTACAAGAGTCTGGGGTCTAAATATAATAGTAACGGTATCTTGTTTCAAAAAGAAGTAGGGATGGACGAGATTGGATTTTTAGTTCGAGACGAGACGAGACGAGATTTTTTATTTCTCATAAAATTTCGAGACGAGATCGAGACGGGATTTCCCTTCTCATACACAACGGGAAATGCACGTTCAAAATTTTTACCTGATTTTGTAACATTGTTAGATGACTGTTTAAATACAAAAATAATGATAATAGGCAAGAATATTTACAATCTTTTATTAAAAAACAGCAGCATAACATTTTTTTATTAATCACGCCTAACTTATTAAAAATGCCTACGATTAGGAAACATAGTGATATCAGTTAGGATAGAGTTCAACTTATCCTAAAATAAAATAAATCATAAAATAAAAGCAATATTAAAAATAGTTACTGGTTTTGACTTTTTATAGTAATAAAACATTCCTCACACTGCTTACACTTAACAAAACTTCTCATAAAGTAATATTATTAAAATAATTAAAGTAATATTATTAAAATAATTTAAGTAATATTATTAAAATAATTAAAGTAATATTATTAAAATAATTAAAGTAATATTTACATTTAAAGAATTAATTAAATAAGAACGCCTTCGCAAAGGAAACGCAACTACAACACACTCCTGTATTGCGGGTATTGCATTGACTTTCTGCAGGCGTTTTTAATTTTTTTTTTTTTTTTTTTTATTCTCGTCTCGATAAAAATCTTGGCCAAAAAGAAATCTCGTCTCGTGTAACGAGATTTAAAATTTCCCGAAAATTTCCCGAAATTTCGAGACTTGACCATCCCTAAAAAGAAGTTACATTAACGTTTCTTAACTCACTGCCATTTTTATCCTACTTACTGAGCAGGGCCCTACAAAAGACAAAGAGCTCACCAAAGAAGAAAGGACGTTAATTAATTTGAGTTTGATGTGTTTTATTTAATCTTGAAGGGTTTTTATGCAATAATCTCAAGATTGGGGAGATTCTATCGGCTTAAGCAATGCAATGCACACAGACGGATCAAATCAACATCTAAGTCTAATCATGGACTGGTGGATTTAGGATAATATTTATAATCATAGCTATTCACCTGTATCCGAGTTATTGTCGGCTTGCTGCACATTGGACTGGTGCTGCTGTTGCCAGGTGGTGGTGGTTTGTGGTAACGCAGCAAAGGTTGTTTTCTTACCAGGGTTGCCCCCACCACTGTTACTACCACTGTTACTACCACTGTTGCCACCTCCGTTGTGATGGTTGGTTGTACTAGGTGGGTCCAGCAACACACTCTGTAGTCCAGCACTGCTGTTGTTGCCATCGGAATTGCTTCCCCTCAAAACCCGGTTGTCTGCAATTAAAAACTGAGATTTTCAAATGTTCTTCTCATTAGTAAATTATTGTAGAAATATAAAAGTAGTTTTAAGTAAAGGGTGGACAAAGTTAACTGTTTTCCTACCTGTCTTCACACTTCTCTGTATATCTCTGTATAGTCTCTTACCACTTGGTGATGGATTTGACAAATGAATATGTAAATACATCAAGCAATGCAAAAGAAGATTCAGTCCAGTCAATTTTTTACCAGCTTTGGTAGATTATTGGTATGAAAATTACTTTTAACTCACTTTATAACAAGGAGGTTGACTCCTTTTGACATGACACTAACAAGTAAATAGGAATATCTGTACCCCAAAGAAAATTAATAAACCAATTAGATTTGTTAAAGTCCATTGTAAAATGCAAGTGTTCACGACACTGAAGAACTTTTTATAACAAATACAAAATTTTAAAATAAACTTCATATTAAATAGTCCTCAGCAAGTTAAAATCAAGTTTCATAATTAATTTTAGTAACTAAACCACAAATAAATAATAATTGGCTAAACCAGAAAGAATGTGACTGAATGAGTGAGTTGTTAGGCCATAACGAAATTTTGAAAATCAAATATAAACTGGGTTTGGTAGATTTGATGATAAAAACAATATCTGAACAGCTGTGAATCACGAAAGCAACAGAAAGCACGGAGAGTAGTAATGCTCTTACCTCTACAATGTACAAAACGGAAACATAGACATTTGTACAGACCTGAATAAATAATTGGTTCTTGTAATGTAAGAAATCTGCATTACGGTACATTAATTTTTCTCTTATTTTTAGTGAAATCTTACTAACTATTATTTAAAAACTTAAAAGTTTTTCTTGGCTAAGTAAACCCGTAAAGTTAGCCATCACAGTATAAAGTTTGCTTCTGATACATTTACAAACATTTACCTTCGGTAAAATTGTGCAACCTGTCAACATTGATTCATCCCAAAATCTCCTTTAATGCATGTGCCATTTTATTAATATGATGACTGACGGAGGTGAGAACATCTATTTTGTATTATGTGTCATGATAATCTGTAACTTGAGGAACTGATCTTTTGATACTGAAGTAAACATTCCATCTTTTTCAGTCATAGCCTAATTTTTATTTGAAAAGAATATAGTTGAACGAGCCACTCACACAATACTACACAGTATAAATTATGTTCTCCTTAGTTTTTGTTGCTGAGATACTTTATGGGAAAATTGCCAGTAATAAACTGAACTTACAATATGTAGTTATCCAAGTGGCTTGGCTTTCTTAAGAGGTTGGCGTATCCAACATAAATCAGTAGTCCTTTGCTCAATTCAACTGTAGCCATTTATAACTGGCAACAACTTTAACATAGGGATGGATCGTCTAGTTCTATGAATAGTCAAAACTTTAAGCTACCAGGTTCTTAGAGTAAAAAATCACACATACACAAATCTACAACATATGAGTGATTTTATATAGCCTACTATGGAAATGTTAAAAATACTGAATCGGAAATTTCTACTCATAAAAATGATATCTTAAACTTTTAAACTTAAAAAAAAAAATTAAATGTGTTGATTTAAACTTGATTTTCCAAGTGTCAAAGTGACCAACAAACTGCCATACACAATATTCAATCCCTGAACTTACTGTACTCAGGCTCGGCAGCAGGGACAGGGACGGGGGCAGAGTAGTCACGCCGCGGGGGAGGATTTGGTTGTTCCAGCTCCACCTCCTGTTTGATAGCGTTACTCAGTGCGGTGGACAGGTTGTCTTGCAGTGTGGACCTTAAAGTACCACTGTCCTTCCTACTGACAGGCACATGCACTGCCGGCTCCTTGTCTGGGTTACGTCCTATCATGTGAATGTTCTCCTGCGACCCTCCGAAGTTTTCAATCGTCAACTGTACACAAAGACAAAGAGGTGTTGAATTAGTTAAAAAATAAAAATTTGAAAAATCTGAATTTTTGTTATTTAAAGGAATACTGTGGACATTTTTTGTCACGATCAGTATAAAAATACAGTATAAGAAAAGTTTCCACATTTTTGACATTAGGAATCTGATTTTTCACAGCTTTGGCTGGGTTTGAGTACCTATTTCGTTAAGGTTTAGATTCTTTCTCACCTGACCACCGCATCAGATTAAAAATCCCAAAGCAATGTGAAAACTTAGTTTTTTACCAACTAAGATTGAAAATTTCACTTATCATCACCAAAAATTAAATTCAAACAACGGCCTTTTTTATTATGTTTTTTTATACTAATTGTGAAGAGTTTCACATTCTATACTATGTAGAGGAATGCTGTTAACATAGGAAATCAGAGGAATTGATAAACATTAAATTTTATTTTTATTTTGTATGAATTCAAACCATTGTAAACCAGTGTGAGGCAACTATCTGAAACAGGAAAGAAAGAGTGAGCTTACTAATCTTCATATGCAGAAGCTATCCTCATTTCCTTCTTAGTCAGGACATTATTGACAGATATATCCAAAAGCCCGTAACTTTGAATTACCTGAGAGTCATCAGAGAGAGAGTTGCGTCGTGATCGTCGTCCTGCGTAACTCGTCCGTCTTGACTCCTCCCAATGACTCGGCTTGCCTGCTGCCTCGTGTATCACAGAGCTAAGCGTAGGAACTCCTCGACCGCGGTGTACTACAAACGTCTCTTCAGACTTACTGCAACACACACGCAACCATTACTTGAGTCTTTAAATGTTCTTATCTTGTAAGAATACTTCTTTGAAAGAAAACATTTTCTGTTGGCCTTTGATAAGTTTGAGGAAATAAGGTTCACAACTAACCCACCAAAATATTTATTTGCAATCACATAAAGATAAAGATACCATAACAAAGGTTTGAAAAAGCAAGAAGCCTATAAGCAATGATCACCAGTTAAACCAGATGGCGTGTACTTTATCTTCACACTTCTGGATCCTGGATTAAAATAAATAATCATAGTACAAAATATTGTCTTAGTTTCTTTGTTTCATATCGTAAAGGACAAGCTATCACCATTACTATTTTAACACTACTTGTTAAATGTATTGAAATCTTGCTTTAGGATCAACTGATAAAATGATTATCGTTTCAATAATGGAATAGATAGGTTGCACCACTTCCTTTATCTTAAAATTTCAATGTTTACATGTTCTTTTTTATATTACAGAAGTTAAAGCCAATGGTCAAAGTAATTCTCATGAATGGTTATAATATTTAACGTTCCTTCTCATTCCATATCAGTATTACTGTACTTGGTGACTTCACTTTAAAACTTATATGCAATACACATTTGTGAATTTTTGTTGAGTCAGTGGCTCAGTCAGTAGCGCTATTGACTGTAGAACCTTATAAACATTGTCATGGGTACATATTCCGGTGCAGCAACTAAACATTAGTAGTTACAAGCAATAAAGCAATAGTCTATGGCACATGTGGACATGCTTATGTGTAAAAAAACCTGTGTCAACCTTCTAAGCTATTGTAGTTTTTAAACACTATACATACATTTAAATTGGATATTTACGATTAGACAAGAACTCAAACTCTAAAATTGAGAAAGTTATAAACACCTACCTTGTTTCTAAATGTGTTTCCGTTTGATGATTGGAATGTGATTTTTTCAAGCTTGGGCTTGCAATAATAGGAGATCCTGCAAACAAAAACAGATAGTTTAAAGCAAAGAAATTACCAAAATAAGTTGACAGAGATGATTTTAAAACTTAAAATCCGTCCAAGAAAAATTAGCCAACTAAATTTTATTACTCAGTTATAGCCAAATTACATCTGAAAAAGCTTAACGGAATGAAACGTTCAACATAAGAACAATACATTCTTGGGGAAATCAATATGCACATTTAGTTGTAAAACTGATAAAATATTATTTTAAAAATAAACAAAAAACCTTTTTGCAACTAAAACATACTTTTTTACAAACATATATGAGATTACAATAGAATCAAGTAGTTTAATATATTTTAATTCAACCACAATTTAAAAAAAAAGTGGTCTGTTATTAATGTTCAACAACACAAATAAATCCAGTGATATTATTTTGAATTTAAAATATACAAGAACTACCCTGACACACGGGATGCTATAAAAATATTAAAACAAAAGATAAATGGTGAGAAAGAGTGTATGTAAATTTTGTAAAATATAATAAACAACAATTAACAAGGAATATTTTAAATATTTTGTGATGATTTGTACACATATATCTTAAGGTTTATTTAAACACAAAAAAAATGTCTGAAGACTAAGAAGAATAACTAGTTTTCAGAGAAAAAAAACACAAAAAATCATGTAAGAAAGATAAGCGCTGAAACCTGAAACTTTGACAACAGAGGACAGAACTTGACAATAGATTTTGCAACAAAATTGTAAAAACAAAATGTTTACATGCAAGCACAAGCATTAATATAGTGCATACAAAAACACACACAGGTGGTTAGTAACACACATTACACAGGCTTATATAATTTAGCAGGAACATTATAATATTGAATGTTTATTCACAAACAAATAAATTTACTTGACATTAAAATATACAATACAATCAGTAAAATATTAGTAAAACAATAAAAACCATTCTAAAACTAAACACATAAAAGCTAGTAATATAAAAAGCTAAGCCCTGGTTATTTGAGCCTGGTAGGGAAAGCCAATGTTCTGATGAGCCAGACGATTAAAAAAATAAAGTACTACTAGAGTATACAAAAAAATAAAATGTATAATTAAAATAAAAGAAGGACACATTTTGGCAGTTTTTACAACAAATTTTCTCCTTTTGACCCAACTAAAAGTTTCAAAGTATATGATTAATTATTTTGCATGGTTTCTCCTTCTGTAAAACAAATTACAAGTAAAAATGGTGTGACTATTTTCTTATGGTAATTTGTAGGTTGTTTTCAGGAACTAGTTTTTGCAGTAAACTAGTGCCATCCTCAAACTGTAACATTGTCATCTTCAGTACCATCATTTTTGTTTGAAAGAAAAAACATTTAATTAAATTTTCAGCATTTCAAAATAAAACTTTTTTGTAGAAGATAAAAATTAAAATTAAGTATGTCAAAATATAGATTAAGGATGGAAACTAATTTTGTGCTGGAACTAGTTGCTGAGTATGATTTGTGGAATGACAGAAACAGGTATCTACACCCTTTAATATTAGGGTATTGGAAGTACGGAGACTAAAACACAATTAATAGGCTAATCGATAATCTCAGAATAATCCACATAACGGAAGTAAATTAAAAAGTAGTAACCCAATGCATGCTTGTATAGGTAAACACTATTTTAGCTTGCAAAAGTGTATATTTGCCACATTCAACAAAGATAAAAATTATAATTTCCAAAATACCATAGCAGGTTTGTCAAGGAGTCAAATGCTATTAAAGTTTAACAAATTGATCTGTATTGGCTTCTAGATTAGTAACTAAAAAATAAATACTTTAAATAGTCTGATGCAACTGGATTCAAGAAAGTTCTGAAAAGGAGAACTATCTACTAATATTACCTTTTTTCATGCTATTTATAGATTCCAGTTCTTCAGACAGAATCAAAAAGAAAACAAACGGTTATCAAAAGTTATGGATTTTCGAGGATTTACACACAACAAATGTCAAAAATGGATACAACAATTAAAAAGAAACACATGAAAACAATAAATTATTACATAAGGGTCCTCCTTAGTATTATAGATAAAACAATAAAAATCTGATCAAAAATTATAAATTTGTGTATTTAATTGACATATTAAAATTATGGACTGGATGACTTAATCAATTTAATTCAAAACTGTTGAATCAATTATGTTTAACATGCATGGACACACAAACATTTGAATTTTCAAGGAAAGTATTTAGTAAAAAAAAAAATATTTATCAAGCTAGGAAAAATGGGAATACACTAATCAAATCATAACTGTAAAAAACAAGATCTACTAACTTTTGTATTTACAGTAATTAATATAAAAAATGTACGTTATTGAAATCACCCACCAATCAAGACAACATATGTCAATTTACAAATCATAACTGATTGTCTAGAACTGCTGTTTAAAAAAAATACCATGTTTAAAAAAATACCATTTCCTGGACTATAAAACAAGGATGAAAAATAATGGGTTTAGATCAATAACATTAACATCCATTGAAATGTGTAAGGTAAATCGTTGATTATATAATATACCATTAGATGAAACAATCTGTAAACTAAAAATCAATAATGGTGGCAGAAACAAAATCTTTGATGTAACCCTTAGAGCTGACTTCAATAGTACTAGTAGTACGCTTATTCTGCGCGTAACGGGATGAGTGAACATGAGCGCAGTAATGAAAGAGTCCACCCATACCTGGCCTACTTACCGGTGTCACTGGTGAACACAATGTTATATGTATGGGCAAATCAACCAAATCTTAGCCAACAACAATCCTAACTTCTCATCCATTAATTAACCAAAGTCATTCGTAATATACGTAATGGATTTCAAACAGTTATCGATAGGAGGTAAATTCGCACGGTGTAAGGAATCTCCTAAAAAAATATCGTATGGCTTACAATGATGATTTAAAACAACGAGTTCGTAATTATATCATCTAAAAATGATTAACAATCCAATATATGTTTATCTACTCGTAACTAATGAATCTAAATGCCATAAACGGTTCCCACACTCCGCATTGCTTGCCTTTACCACTTCCATCGCCACTACCTACGTCGTGGACCTGTTCCCCTCCCTTCCCTCAGCATGTTAGTATTGAATGTACATTAAACTACCACAAAAACTTCGACATTCAGAATTTCTCGCCTTTACCAAATCCTTCCCCACTTCCTACGACGTGGACCTGTTTTCCTCCCTTCCCATAGCCTTTTGGTATTGCAGATGCATTAATCTAACTGCCACCAACGGCTCCCACACTCCGCACTGCTCGCCTTGACTCCTTCCTTCCCCACTTCCTACGTCGTGGACCTGTTTCCCTCCCTTCCCATAACATTTTATTATTGCAGATAGATTAATCTAACTGTCACAAAGGGTTCCCACACTCCGGACTGCTCGCCTTGACTACTTCCTTCACCACTTCCTACGTCGGGGACCTGTTTCCCTCCCTTCCCATAGGATTTTAGAATTGCAGTTACATTATTCTAACTGTTACAATGGGTTCCCACCAGCGAGCACATAATAATAATAATAATAGAGAGGACACGGCGTTTAACCAAATGCACTGAAAGTGTGGCCAAATCCGCCATCTTGGTCCGTCATACAGCCTGAATCTTAGACCCGCGAGCACAGTTCGCATTAAAAACCCCGCGACAAATACACGATCATAAACAACATTAATAGTTGACAAAAATTGCTGAAATTTTGCACACTTGTAGATCTGATACTGAGGATGACGATGGTGTTAATATAAAATTATTAGTTATGATAGTTATTGATTTATAAATATTTGTATTACTTATGTAGTTTAATTTTTCACATTCAGACATGAAAAAGTTGTATTGCGAGGAAATTTTTTATTTTTTGGTCAGAGTAATTTCGTCAGCGGGAAAGTTGTGGATAAATAACCAAATTTAACTATCCGATTCACCAAAAAATTTTATCGCGCGTGGTTGTCTAAAAATATCAGGTACAAGAGGGCCGTTGCCGCTGCTCCGCGCCACGCCCGCTGCCCCGCCGTCGTCTATAAATTTAGCGTGCAGTGTTTTAATGTTTTATTTATACTGTTGTACTGTAATATTGTATATATTAAAGACATTTTCAAATATATTGTCTATGAAGAATTTTCAACCGTTTAGCACAGCGTTTTAAGGACTAATTTGCTTTCAATATCATCCAAGATAAACTAAAGATAATTATGTAAGTTAAATAAAACTTCCCAAATATTTGTAAAACTACACTCAATTTATTGTCCCAGAAAAATTACAGTTTTATTGAGATGTTGCCTGGGTTTATTTTTGTAACGACTTTCGTTACTTATTTTATAGTAGTAGCGAACTCTAACATTGTAATATATTTGAGCAATCATTTTAATTACTAAACAAAAATGATTGTTGTCTATTTCATATCCTGAGAAATGTGTACTATTTTTGTAAAAGAACAATCACTTGACTAGTTCTCAACAGGATGTAGGTTATCGCCATCGCACCAACTCTTCAGTATAACAGCATTACCTTAAGTAAAAGTATTTTTTGTTTATGTGTTCTCAAACTGAATTTGCGCCATATTTTACAGCGGGCAGATACAATATTTGTTATTTGATTCTAGAATTATCAGTTTATTTTTTACTAGTAGAATCCCGTCGAAATCGACGGTTAATCCCAAGTATCGTCTACTACAGATGCAATACGCCAAAGAATATCGTCTACGTGCAATCTCCAAGAAGTGGTAAAAAAGACTAATTTCCGAAAAATAGTTTAATCATTAGTAGTACCCTACTTTTGCGTGTTAAAGAATTTCTCTTTTGCGATTGCCACGTAAAATCAAAACAATATTTAAGTTGAAATTGAAGGTCAATAAGTCGGGCGAACTAACCCGAGTGACCCGACACCCCAAAAACTTGAATGGGATGTCGTAAAAGGGAAATCTAAGAAATTGCTAATGAAATCCATTCGGAGTAACATAAGGATTAACGGGACATCCCTGTACAATGTTCACTCCTAATTCATTTACAATTTCCGAGTATTGACTTTTTATGTTTTGGACCAAACAATAGGTCGAATAGTTTGTACCATATGCCTACGATTACAATTTACAACAGGTAGTACGTTCACCTTTGCCAGTAATAAATTCATGGTTTGTTCCTCAATTAACAATGAGGCAGATTGTGTTATTGTTCTAATACAAATGAGAAAAAAATCACAAATTTTTACTGTGTAATCGACATTTTAAAAATCAACCCCTGAGTGATCAATACACAGCCTGAAGCCGTGTTTAAGTGAGGCCAGTAGAGCAGGCAGGTTACTTACCTCAAATGTATTTTAAGCTATAGTACAGAAAGAATGAAAATAACTTAAGATTTATAAATCTCTTATTTGATTCTAGACTCAAAAGAATTATTATTATTTTCTTCATAAATTATTCAATTATTTTTTTATAAATAATTTACTTCGTAACGTGTAACACTACTTAAATTAAGACCAGTTTTAATTTCTATTATAGTTTACTCTTTTTTTTATCCGTCCAGAGTACATGCTGGTTATTGTTATTTTAATTTATCAATAAAATAGAGTAATTATGTTTGTGTTTATTGGTAATCCGGAGGCTAACATCAACCTTATCGATTCTTAAACCATTACTTTGGAAATAGTTAAGTAAACTCTGATTAAACGAATTTGTGTTTGTCTAATCAGTTAGGAATAGTTCATTATAGGAACTTAAGGGTAAAGGTTTTCATTAGACAAATTTTATGTCGGCAATAATAAAGTAAAACAATTGATTTACTTTAAGATATTTCCAACAATATACTAATACTCCAGAAAAACCTAAGTAGTTTTTATACAAAAGTATTTTTACATCCAAACAAAGCCTATGTAAACAACCCTGACTCGAAGCATAACAGACGACCAGCGCGTTGCAGACGCCGGGACTAGGCTTAGGCTAGCGCCGCCATCTTTGTCCGTTTCGTCGGCTAGTCAGACTGCCACGCTCCTGCGCTCCGAGTAGCGCTTCTATTTTGTTATGTGTTCGCTGGTTCCCACACTCCGGACTGCTCGCCTTGACTACTTCCTTCACCACTTCCTACGTCGTGGACCTGTTTATCTCCCTTCCCATAGGATTTTAGAATTGCAGTTACATTATTCTAACTGTTACAATGGGTTCCCACACTCCGGACTGCTCGCCTTGACTACTTCCTTCACCACTTCCTACGTCGTGGACCTGTTTCCCTCCCTTCCCATAGCATTTTAGTATTGCAGGTACATTAATCTAATTGTCACAAAGGGTCCCCACACTCCGGAGCGCTCGCCTTGACTACTTCCTTCACTACTTCCTATATCCTAGAACTGTTTTCCTCTCTTTCCATAGCATTTAAATATTACAGATATATTAATTTAACAGTCACAAAGGATTTCCACACTCCGCACTGCTCACCTTTCCGCTTCCTTTACCACTCTCTACGTCGTGGACCTGTTTCCCCCCCTTTCGCATAGCATTTTAGTATTACTAACATCTTTGAATATTTAATATTCAATGCCAACATTAAATTGAATAATGTAAAAAGCTGCTTTGTTCTAAATATATACATATATATTTTTAATTTAAAGGTGATTTTTAATACTGAACATAAACGGTTTATGACTGCCGATTAATATTGTAAAGTTCAATTTATTATCCAGAAAGTTGTGAAATTTCATTAACAACATTATTCTGAAACCTGTGAAATTATAATGATATATATTCATAGACGCCAAACTGTTTACTCCATGAATGAAATAGGTTAGAGTAAAAGTCGTTCTCTCTGTCTTAAGTAGACAACAAAATTGTTGGTCGCAAAACGTAAACAAATAAAAAGAAGAAGAAGGTAGCTCCTAATGTTATTCTTATGGGACAAATTTAAAAATGTTTTTTAAGGGTTTTATAATTACTACTGAGCGGAATCGTCTAGAATTTTAATGAGGTCTTCCCACTGGTGTCATAATTATTTGTGCAAAATTCGAACGCTATAAGTGCGACGGTTCTTGAGTTTTTGGTGCGAACACACTCACTCACAGACAAGCGGACAACTTTTCTCCGACTCCGCTATACACGATACATAGATTCGTTCACTTCGTTCACTCATCTATTAGTATTTTACTTTGCTAACCCTTTGCGTTCGAAGACTATTTTGAGGTTATTTTGCATACCGGCCACAATCTTTTATATAACATTTACTCATAAAAATCCTTTGTTGATGTTGGTGTCAACCTAGCAGTGACATCTAATGAGCTCATGAAAAGAATTCCAAACAGGTGGAAAGAATTTGCCAACACACGCTAACACACACGGCAAGGTGGCCAGTGGTACTGCCCATGCAAGCAGTACAGAACGTCTACAACTGAGTACTGACCTGACCAACTGAGCGCAAAGGGTTAACACGTTCACTCATCTACAGTGTAAAATATAAATAACACAAACAAAAAATATGAGTTGCAGAATGCGAGTGAAAACAAATGCGATGTGACAGTGAAACAACAGAAGAAGCCCATGAAACTAATTGGCACACACAGGGGTGGGGATACCTGAGAAGCTGGATCCATTGTCCAGGCCGCTGCGGAGGTCAGGAATGGCGGAGACGGACTGAGGTAGGCAGCGACGATGAGCCACACCTTGGCTGTTCCGAGGGTATGCTACACAACCCGTCAACTACAGTGAACTCCAGGAACATGCATTACCACAACTTACGCAACATCTGCTCGACAGACGTTTTTTTGTGTTTCTACGCCATTGGAAATTTTTTTGTTTTATGTAAGGGAATGGTCTTTACTAAGGCCTTATTATCTACACTTCTTATTGGATAGCATAACGACAAATGGCATCCGGGTGCAGAATCATTCCCTCTAGATAAGATTCAACCTTGTTAGAAGAGGAGGTGTAAACCATACCAACTACATTCTTCAACTGATTGTCAATTGTTACAATATTTACTGTTTCCAAATCATTGAATATTTTGATGCACTATTCAGAAACCCATAGAGGTGATGAAGCAATTAGATTTTAACTCAAAATTGGCTGATATTTAAGAATTAAGTATTTGTTCATCTTAATTTAAATTTTACAAATATAATTTTGGTAACATTGCCTAAGAGACCTTAAGTACAAAGAAAATTCTGTTAATTTTATGTCTTTAATTGTATTAAACTGATTACAAAACGTTGTATTACAATGCCAATTTTAATCTCAAAGAATGAATATAATGTTTGAACTTGTGAAATTTACCTTAGAAAACAAACTAATAACCATAACTAGTACACAACTTTCTAAATTCATTGTAATTATACTTTAATATAATACAAACGTCTTCAATGTATCTTGGAGGAAAATTAGATGTTTTAGTTTGATGAACAATGTATAAGATAACTTGAAATTCTTGACAAACACTTACAAAGTAGTAAAAACATAAATACAAAATAAAATAAAACCACACCACACAAATTGTGTAAGCGTGCAATTGGAACATTCATTCAGCTATAAGCAAAGAAAGCTGCATATAAAAAAGAGTTTGGGAAGAATCAAGATCCTAAATAACCAAAGAAAATTATGTTCACAATGTTCGAAGGTGTTTAATAACAAAAACCTGTTAATTCTTTTTCATTCATGTTCCACAGTTTCAGTCTTTGGGTAGTATCCAAACCGGTCTTGCCTTAAATGAAGCTCATACTATCAGTAACAATAATGCTTAGCCTTGTATCATAAAATAAAATGTTAAGTTAGTAAAATACATATATGTTTTCTTAAAATTATACTCTAGACTAAAAAAACCATGAAAATGGAATTTGTAAACTTTTAAGAAATGTTGTTAGTTTTTACTTAGTTAAAAAAATTATCTGAAAACCAACACAACCGTGCAGTTTTTCACGGGTTATGAAAACTGATTATGAATGCAATGAGCTATGCATGCTGATCCAAATGTAGTGTCAGACTGAAACAAACTTTTTATTGTTTGATTTGTTTAGGATACTGATGACTAGTGATGGACGAGACTAGATTTTTCACTTCAAGACGAGACGAGACGAGATTTTTTTAATTCCCGCGGGACGAGATTTTTTTTCGGGACGAGATTTAATGAAAAGTTATAAAAAATTAATATCTACTTTTTAAGTTCAGATATATTTACAAGTTCTAAGAACTTGGCAAAAAATAGACAAAAATATTTAATATCTTTTATTGAAAACATTGATAAAAACATCAGTAGCCTATATAAAAGAAACGAATAAGGCCTAACTTATTAAAAATAACTCTTCGCCATAGGAAACATGGAGATGTCAGTTGGTATAATATAGTTCAACTTTGCAAAATATAAAAAACAACAGTATTACTAGTTAAGTATCAAGTAACAATTTTAAGTCTTGTGTTATTAATAGAATGATTTTGGAGTAAATTATATGTTTACAGTAGTAAAACATGTCTCACACTGCTTACACTAACAAAACTTTTCATTTGCTATGCAAAAAAAATATAAAATGATTGAAGCAATATTTCCTTGTAAAGAATAAATAATTAAATAAACGCCTTTGCAGTTTTTTTTATTTTAAAATTTTTATTAAAAAATTTTTTTTTTAATTTTAATTTTTTTGAAATTTTAAATAAAAGGTTGCAATGTACGTTTCACAAAAAACTTAGTTTTTTTAAAATTTTAAAAATATAAATTTTTTTAATTTTAATTTTTAAAATATATTTTTTTTTAATTTAAAATTTTTAAAAATTTAAATTTTAAATTTCTAAATTTTTTATTTTTTTTATTTTAAATTAAAAGTTTGCAATTTACGTTTTGCAAAAAAACTTAGCAGTTTAAATTTTTTTTTATTTGAAATTGATCTTTTTTATTTAATTTTTTTAAATTTAAATTTAATAAAATTTTTAAAAATTTTAAATTTTAAATTTAAAGGTTTGCAAATTACGTTTAGCAAAAAAACTCAAATGTTTTAAATTAACAAAAAATTAAAATTTGTTTAAATTTAAAATTTCAAAAATATTTTAAAATTTTTGTTTTTAATTTTTAAATTTGTTTTTATTTTAATTTTTTTTAAATTTAAATTTTTTTAAATTTTAAATTAAAAGTTTGCAATTAACGTTTTGCTAAAAAACTTAGCGGTTTAAAAAATCTTTTTTAAATTAAAAATTTTTAAAAAAATTTTGATTTTTTTTTTTTTTTTTTTTTTTAATCTCGTCTCGAAAATATCCCGTTAGCATTTTAATCCCGCCCGAAGCTTCGAGATAAAATAAATCTCGAAAAAATCTCGAAGTTTCGGGTCTTGTCCATCACTACTGATGACATATACCAACAATCTGCAACATCATACTTACTTATTTTAAGAAAGTTACAAATTAAAGAATATATGAAAATGGTTACTTATTAAAAACAAATGTCAACTAAGAAGCAGCAAATAAAATGGAATCGTTAGATTTCATTTTGAAGATTTTTTTATTTTTGTAAATTTGACAACATGCAAGGATGCATCGAAGTTCTACTCAATTGCATGAGTTTGCACATTTAATTAGTCTTAATTAGCAAAGTAAAAATTAAAATAGTGGTTGCTTTCGACATTCAACGATTATTAAAAACAAGCCAAAATAAGTATGTATACTTTCAAAATTTTAAATTGCTTGCAAAGCAAATTACAATCATAAGTGTGGTTGTATTTTTATTTAACTAACAAAATATAGTTAAGTAATAGGGATGTTAAAGACCGGACATATTCAAGGAACTTTAAATCCCTCTTCATGGAGAATTAATTTAATATTGTGGATTTTTCAGGTCAGGAATTTCAACTGCAATGGAGTGATTAATATGAATTTTCAATGTCACTGCGATTGCAAAAAATGATCAAGATTTTCCGCAATAACAGATTGGGACTATATCAGACGTGTTTTAAAGAACTTAAAGCAAATGAGTTTTATTATAAAAAAAACATATCCCATCTGAAACTTATGATCCAGTCTTGCACATCCCAATTTGACTAGTTATTTAGCTGAATAGTTTGTTATGTTTATAATTTAGTCACGTAATTTGACTAACCTTCAGTTAATTGTGCTGCGCCTTTGTCAAAACGAACACACTTGGCCGGATGGATCTCTAGAACATTGAAGAGGTCGGCTAGGAACACTATGAGGTTAGGACGCATGCTCCTGAAACAAAATATCTAGCTAACTGGTTTGTTTGATATAGCACAAAGGAAACTGTTACAGCAATAGTAAGTCATGTAGATATGCAATGTTAACTGGTCCACTCTTGTATTAGAATATAGCTTGTTCAGAGCACGGTAACTCAAAATAGATTACTTAGTAAGATATTTAACAGTAAAACTGAATGTGTTTGACCCCTAAAAAAAAAAACCAGAAAGTGTTGGAATGACCAAGGTAAGAAATACCCGAGAAACTGGTGTGGTGTACATAAGGTGTACTGGTGTGGTGTAGAAGACCGAAGAAGGTGGAGGTAATATGTTAATGAGGTCAAAAAAACTTGGTTTCAATAGAATCATGAGTATAATAAAAAGCCATTCAAGGTAAATAGTTGGATGAGAGGTGTTAAATGATCAGATAATTTTAATCAAACATGGTTACTTTAAGAGCACAGTTACTGACAGCAGTACTGACATTTCATAGCGGAGACTATCCAAAGGGTTACACTACAACTGATGGATTGGCTAGTTCTACTGTAAAAGAAAACCCCTTTCTACTATTCCAACCCTTGCTATTTCTTCTCTTAAGTTCATGTGAAATCACTTCATAAATGGGACTTGCTATGGCCTCCTCTTTTCCCCTGTCATTTCACAAAGTGAACATTAAGAATATGAAATAATTGAATATCAAATGGCTTACATTTGTGCTTTAAGGACAGTAGCTAATGTTTAACTCTTGAAATTCAAAAGGAGTGGTATACAGTCTTTGAAAACCAAGTGTTTACCAGCCTGGTATTCGTAAACTAAGATTGTACCATTCCCACAATCAACTAACCCTCTCATGAAGGAGATGTCCTCAGGCGTCATGTGGAAGACGTTGTACGGGAGGCTGTGATGACAGAACTGATTGACCAGCATCAGATTACGCACCCTGTCTGATACTGTCGGCACCTGCAAACATTTACAAATTACTGACAAAATGCTCAATTATGGCTACTCATACAAGACCATAGGCTTACAATGGGACTAAACTGTTAGTAAAGCTTTTTGTAATAGACACAGCATCAAAAACAGCTGTCTACACAGGTAAGAGAAGTGATGGACAGGATTAAATTTTTAGATCGGTATGGGACGGGATGGTATTTTTTCCTGTTCATAAAAAGGGTTTGCTTTAAAAGTCTTTAGTATTGCAGTTGCAAAAAAAGACAATTAAATCAATTTTTACTGTTTGTGGCACTGATCTATAAAAACAAAAAAATGGGTAAAAATTTACAGTAAGTAATTTACATAAACTTGGGACTCGTGGTCACGGCGTGATGGTCGAAATGACTCGACGGTCACAATGTGATCGTCTAAATGACTCACAATCAAGGTGTGATCGTCGAAATGACTCTGCCGTCACGGCAAAAATTTTTGTAATGACGTGAATGTCAGTTTGATCCGCGATCTTGGCCCGATCGTCAAAATGACTTCGCCTCCTGTGTTTGCAGAACTATCATTAACAAACAACTCTCACAATAGCAGGGTAATCGTCACTCGCGAAGCGGCAAAATCGTTGAAAGTCCGATCAAACCCCGTCCCGAAAAGTAAAATATAAATTTTAATTCCAACCCAAAATTAGAAATTCACTTTAGGTTTTCTTACACATTATTATTTAATACAATCGAGTTTTTATTATTTGCCTGAAACCAGCTGTTACAATATTATAAGGAAAGGTACGATAAGACAAACAATATTTTTTTTTAAATATGCTAAAAACCTTTTAATTGATATAGTGATTTAAGGTTTTAAGTTCATCTTTCACTGAAACCACTAACTTTTCTCGTTTCAAAGAAAAAAATAGCTGCCAAAGTAAAAACACCTCGGCTGAAATTGTAAAATATAAAATTTAATTCGACTAATAGTTGAGGGGTAGTAGAGAGGTATACAGGTACGAGCAACTACTGAACTGTGAATAGTGCATGACGATTAAATAATCGAAAAGTACAGCCTAAAGCCTTGAAACTAATGTTCCGCGCACAGATAAAAAGAGGTTGGGAGCAAAGGGGGTTGTTTCAATGTACCCTTATTCAATGTACCAGTCATTGCATCATACTGTTATACTGCATTTGAATATCACAAATTTTTTTAGTATTCAATCAGGTTGATAAGTTGACATGTTTCACACGCCTTTCCCCCAAAGAGTGGGGACTTATACAGGAGGCCCTAGACTCACCTTGTTGATGGTTATCTGTCGCCAAGGAAGGTCCTCGGGGCAGTAGAAGGCAATGAGAGACGCTAGGCACACTCCGTTACTCAGCTCGGACCAGTCTGACACCCTCCTTAGCTGTAGCACGTCGTCCTGTACAGACAAAACAGTTACATCATTCAGTGCATTACTTCATTTAAAAATTTCCAAATTCCTAGGTATTGTATTTAACAAATCTATATACTTAATGCAATAAGGGGTTTCTCTGATAAATTAGTGACTTACCATAAAAAATAATCAAATAGACAGAATCATAGAGCACACAATAACTAATTATTTATCAGATGTCTAGTGCTGAAAGCAGTTCTCCGTACAGAGAAACTGCTCGTTGCCTGAGATCCTACATCCATTCCTTTTTCAACTAGATATACTAGATTAGTTTTATGTGGGCCCTAAACCACTATGTTACAGCAACAACATATAGCTTTAACTTTAGGCCTTCAGAACACAGTTCTACAACCACTACACAAGACATGACCCTATAGACTCACCTTAGCCTCTTGCCGGATGCGTTCGTTGAGCGCAGCCGTTGCCTCGTTGACCCAAAGCAGCAGTGCTGCCTCGTGGTCCGGGGGCAGTGGTGGGGGTGGAGAAGAAAGGTTGAACCTATTGACTGCTGCCAACACTCTGTCAGGCGTTGCAACCTCCTTGGAGTACAGTGACATCAGCGCCTCCATTACACTGACATGTGCTGCCTGTGGACAGTCAACACTATGAATACATACATAATATTGTCTTTGTATCAATCAAAGCCGTCGACATAATTTATATTAAGGATAGAGACTAATTTATAAAACCATATTTTAAATATAGGTCTTATCATTTGGAACACTTTAACATCAACGACGTGTTACAGTCATTAATCTTGAGTGACCAATTCTTTTGCTCAGTCCAAGAATCGCAACTTTGAATCAAAATCTTTGGTCATACAAGGAAGGATTTTTTAACGCTTGCCAAAACCTGCTATAGTAGTTTTTTCCCAAAATGCGCCAAACTATCCCAGATAGGTGCCCTTGATAAGTGTTGGAGCTAGTCATGATTAGATTCATAATTTCATCATCAAAATAGAATTTTAAAACTCCTAGGGTGCTATCAACTGGAATTTTAGGGCCATACTTACAAATAAATGATTCTCTAAAAGGTTCATAACTTTCCATAGTATCAACCTTTCACGGGTTTCACGCTTGAAAACAATACATCTGTCTCGCATTTACTGGAATCAGGAACATCTGTAAAATACTGAGCAGCTAAGAGACAATGTATGCAGTTCTAGTAAGAAATCGTCCATTAATTCGCCGTCAGATGCAACCTCCTACCGGGTTGCGTTATGATGAGCGTGTTTCACCAAACCACTGGAATGTCTTTTTACAAGTTATAAGGAAGGCTCGTCTAATCGTTGCTGAAGGGTTAATCAGAAGGTGCCAGTACAATATGATTACAGTTGCCATTTTTATGAAAACCTTTTTTGTATTATTTTGGATCACAACAAAAGTTAACAGAGTGAGTGGTGAGACTGACCAGTTTGATGGGGTTGGTCTGTATGAGCACTGTCTCTGTGAGTTGAGCATCATTGATGTAGATCCCCTTCCTAGCCAACACCTGCAGCACACCCCAGTTGTTGAGGTTGTGGTAGTTGGGGTCCGAGTAGATGTTGGCCAGCGCCTGACAGTACAACTCTGCATTGGCTAGAGCATGCACCAGCTGTGGCTTTAGGTGTTCCTGATCCTGCAAACACACCAGTGTAGAATGGAGTAAGATGTTTTGTTACTTATAAAGATCAGGGGTTTCTTTAGCCAGGACCATTTACTAAAAGCCCAATTGTCAAGTACTTACCAGTAACATAGATATAGTACTTGTTACACTACTATAACAAGTAACTAGTAAAACAATTGGTTATTATAATTCATACTAGAGTTCATAGTCAATTGTATAACATAAATTAAAAGTAATTTGTCCTGAGCATATCATAAAATTTTTTCAATAATAAACTTTAAGATTCCCTTCCCATGTTATTCAACTCTAGAAGACCCAGCAATAAAACTTTTGGAGGATTTCGGCTTTACAATGAAGTTAGAGGAGAAAAAACCAGGGTGTTTGTGGCACCTACGTAATTTGAAGACGGTCGGGCGTAGAAGCTTTGTAGAGGTGTCTAGATAAAGGTTTTGGTATGTAGATGAGCCATCAAAAGGAAAAAAAACTAAATTCCTTTGGGGCTCTCCCCCATTGGCTTTTAAAGTCTTCTTCCCAGATTTGTTTATAATATGACACTATGGATAATTTTACACTACTTTTTAATAAAACAGCTGTTAATATTTAAATTGTATTTCACAGGTCACAAGTTATAAGTATTTATTTACTAAATCTGTCACATCAACAAAATATTTAGAAATAAAAATGTATCAGGCAATGGTCAAAATATGAGGAGAACCATCCATAGTACAGTAGAGTCCCGCAAACTCGGCACTGGATAACCCGGCAGTCTGGATAACTCGGCCATCACCTGGCTCAGAAAATTAGTGATTTTTTGAGTCCGAGTTAAACATGGACACAAGCCAGCTCAAGTATAATCATTTGCAACTCATACTAAGGATTTGTTGTACTATATCTGATGACTTAATACTGACTTGTAATATAAATCTAACTAAAAAAAGGCGGTTAAAAAGCTTAAAAATTGTATTGCTCTTATTTTTAACTCTAGTTCCTGATAACCCGGCATTTCACAAACTCGGCACCCTTCCAGTCCACATTACGCCGAGTTTGTGGGACTCTACTGTACATCGAACAGCAGCCTCAAAATAGTCAAAATACCAATAATGTCAGCCAGATACATGTAAAACTATTCACACTCAATAATATGAAAAAGTAAAGGTCAACCAAACAAACAGATTTGCTCTTGAATATTTAAAACTCAATAAGACATTAAAAATGATCCTAACATAGATTATAATAACTATATTGTCAAAATGGAGTTGAAGCTATGTTCATTTTGGGCAGCGAAGAGATTGTAATATTAACAAAATAGCCTATAGCGGATAACATGATACATTTATTTATACAATAATGGCTTGCAGTTGACATATTTACTTGGTTTATTTTTATTTTTACACCAGTCGTTGATTCTATTACTTACCTCATGGTCCTTGTAGAACGGTTCCCTCACACTCTCAGGCACCCTGTTGTTGTATGCTTTGGACAGCAACCACTTGACTGACGCTCTTTGTCTTGCCTGCAACACAAACAAAAACATTGATTTACAGACATAAAAGTGCATTTGAAATACAAACATTTGATAATAGGTTAAGGTTATTTCATAATTAGTACTTACTTACTTTCCGTGTCCGGAAATCAGTCTTCGCTTTTCTAAAAATTAGCTACCGATATGGCTTTGTCATTCGCATGTAAAAGATCATCTAATGTGCAAGACTGATCTAGGCGTGGGCAGATCAGCAGATGGCCGGGATCCTGAACAGCACCACACGCGCACAAGATGTTTTCTTCGTCTGGTAAGAGACCCCATTTCTGCATGTTTGTCTTGCATTTTGGTACCTCGACCCTAATTCGATTTGGGGTCTTCCACACCGTGTAATGAAGGCCTCCACTAGGAGCCAGTTCCTCCCCGGCTGGTATGGGAGAGTTAGTTAACGTGGCCTCCCACCTTGACATTGCTTGAAAGTGATCCATCCAGGACTCGTGTCCGTGATAAAAAGCTCTTTCTGGACCGAAGCCGTCGCTCTGCAGGTTGGTGGGCATGGGGTGCACAGAAGGAGCCTCCCCGAAGATTGTGACCAATACACGCTATGAACAACATCACAATCGGACGTACGCCGAGCAACGCTGACATGTCAGCGGCAAATCCTTCTAAAACCGGACGACTTCGAAAAAAAAAAATAATAATAATTAGTACAGTAGCGCTTTCAATGTTTGATTATTAGACCTTCTGTGCTATCCGACTCCGCTACAGACAATCGACTATAGACAATAGAAGAGGGGTACGTCCAGAAGAGGGGTACGTCCAGAGATATGGAAATTCGCTTAGTCGGCAGGTTTGCTGGGGCGGGGGTATTTATATTTTAACACTGTTATTTATTTTTTTTTTTTAAGAGGTTGGCGGCCTCTTTTAACCTTGCATTTGCCCGTCCACATAAACTACCTGTGCGTGGAACGTATCCAGCAAAGCAAGGGGTGAGCCGGTACAATACGAAGGTGAACTGTACTGATAAATTTTAGTCGCAGTGACCAGGATCCGAACCCACGACATCGCTGCCTTGGGCCCGAAGTCCATGACGCTACCAACTGAGCCACCGAGTCACCAATTTTTACGTTTAAACTTTGCATTTCTTAGTAATCATTGTTTTCATGGTAAAAAAGAAAAACTATCACATAGGATTATTGTGATGGTTAACACAAAAACAAATTACTATAAACATTAAAATACTTATTTTGTAATAATAAGCAAAGGAACCCATTGAAGGAAAACTTAAGTCAACAACTCTTAAAGTACAGACAACACTTTTAAAATACAACCTTTTTGTGTAGCTGCTATTATAATTTATGTATACAATCATATTAAGGCATTTCCAACATAGCCTTTAGAAATATTCTCTACAATCTTAAATATTCAAAGATGAATTGAGGTACTCAACTAGGCCATGGGTCAATGATCTATAAACATATTCCACCCTAAAACAATTACACCCTTACACCTTCGTTGTGATAAACCACAGTTCTGTGTAGCAATTGTGTCATTTTTAGATAACTTTTAAATTTTCAGGTACATAATTTTGATTTTTAATTGATTCCTAAATTAATCTGTAGCCTAAAACATTATTTTACTATTTTTAAGTCTTTGTAACAAATTTTAAAATATAATGTTTCAGATTTATGTTGTGAGACTGTAAAAGATAAACATTTTAATTAACATAGCTATAAAACTTTATACAATGTTATAAATTTGTTATGGAAGATATTTGAGAGTTTCTTTATTCTAATTTAGGATAAATAAAAAGTTATAAAATATTTGTTGGAAATGGTCAAACAAGAAACATAGCGCAAAACAAGTTAGTATTAGTAAATTTGGAAAGTTTTGTCAGATTGGTTAGTGGAAAACCCCTATGTATAGTGTCAACAAGTTCTTGAAAAAGACTTTCAACGATTCAATGTTACCATTCTGTGTTTAGATCTAGGCCTATACATCTGTTTATTTTTAAGTAGGCTAAGATATTTTTTAAATGTGACTTTGCCCATTGCTTGTACATGTTTAACGGCAATAAACGATTCTTATTCTTATTCTTATAAAAATAAGTAATACAGTAGTTTATTGAAATATAAAAACCCATAAACATTAGGGGATTAGTTTTAAATTCTAAAATACTTAATGAGAAAAAATGTACAAAATTAAAATTACATACAGAATAAGAATCAGAATCTTTATAGTCAGTAAACATTTTCACAAATGTAATAGACAAAGTCAAATGACTGTTTCTAACACAATGTTTGCTTTAAAGTTTCAAAAATTGGTATGAAAATGGTTTAAACTAAATCATATAGAATTTATACTGTTTTCGTTGAAATAAGAATAAGCTAGCTATTTAAGTTCAAAACTTAGAAAATTGTTATATGAAAAATACAACAAACAATTGTAGACATACAATAAAATGTAATTAATACATACATAAAATATGGCAGAATAGGTTTAATTCATCCTTGAAATGTACATTTAACACAGCTAAAATAAGACGGAAACACAATAGTACATAATTAATTTATTTACTTAGCGTGCTAACAATTTATATACATGAACTATGATATTATCATTTACTATATTACTATATATTCATTAAATTGTTTGCGCAATCCATTAAATGACAGAGACAAATGCATAACCGCATTTTGAAGAGATAAATTCACTTTCATATAGAAAAGGATTGAGTTAAAGACACAATTGTTGTGAAGTCGATCAAAGAGACTATCTGGCAAGTAGCCACCACACTGCAGACACTTCCTGGCCTGAGACTGTGTACTCCTTCACTCTCAACTGTGGACATTGGACTAGCAAACAAGTAACTAGTGAGCGAAATTAGCTGCAGATGAAATTACCCCTTGAGAAAGAGATTAGCTGCAGTTCTCATCCATACATTTGGTACCATTACCCGTGGATTTTTAAACACTCAAAATAGATAACATAGTAGCCTATGTTTTACAGAGGTGTCTCCATATTTGACCTTCTGTGTTAGCTGACCCTCCCTGTGATCAGCCGAGTACCAAATGGTATCATGGATGACTGTACACCAAAGCGGGTTGTCAAGACAACAAATTTTGCTACCTCTGTCTGTAATCAGAAGCGCTTCAGCTTTAGGCATCTGCACTAGACTACCAGTTTTGGGGGTTGATTAATCGATACTTAACTATAGTGTTTCAGCTAATTATATTACATTTTAAAACAGGAATCACAATCTTCAACATTAGTTTTAAAAAGGCTTGTCATAAAAATTTAAACTAATTCCCCCAAAAGTTTAGCATAAAATTTTTTTTCTGAAAATGTAAACATATTAGGCACATATGTTGTCCATATGTTTTTGCTGTCAGATATCCAAGTTGCCAGACCACCGTAGGTGTGAGTGTGACGCAACTACATGGCTGTGCCTTATACAGCACCTGTCCTACCTGTAATCTACACCTACTCATCTCATATGTATACCACTTACTGCTAGCTCACACACACACACACATACATAGACAATTACACTAATTCCCGTAAATATAACACCTTAGGGGTATTATCCTTTCTTGAATTTAAAAACTTCCAAATTGATAATGATAGCCCCACCTAAAAATTTAAAATCAGAGTGAAATTCAAAAACATTTTTTGAATCCTAATTCAGCTGCCTACATAAACACAATTTTGGGTATATTAATAAAATAGCTTAACAGTTGAGAACTGAATTAAAGCTACAACCAGCACTTTAAAATTTTAATAACCCCACATATGCATGAAAAGAAGTATATTTATGTCAAATTTGACATTAAATTATGGATATAGTATACTATAAAACACAATTCACCCAATAAAGACGTTTGTTTGTCGTAGTAAACATATATTTTGTATCATTTATGTTTTTAGTCAATACGGTATCGAGTGTTATTCTTCAAGCATTCTTAGTTCTTACCTACTCTAATGAATGCAATGTTCAATTAAATTACAACAACTGATTTGTTTTCAATACAATTTAGAAAAAAAGACTGGGATGATATTGCGAAATGAATGAACCTCTCTGCATGCATCTTTTAACTAATCATCTGTATGCTAATGATGGTACAGCTAAAGCAATGTATGCTAAATTCGCACCAAATATATCATATTGGCTGGTACATTCAATTTACATCCTAACCATATTATGAACTTAAGTTGGACACCCAAGGCAACAAGTTCAGAGTTTATGTAATATTGGTAGCGGTGCTAGCTCAAACTGTCAAACCTTTACTGAGTACCTTACTTAAAGGCATTACAGTTTGGAATACCTGAACAAATGAAAAGTAATTTGGGATCTTGATAATCGAGAAATGCCAGACATAAATACTAAATTCAATATATTAAAATTATTATAAAATATATATTTTAATAAATATTATAAAATATTTTTTTCTTCTTAGGTTAAGGTATAATTTTAATGACAAATTATACAACACCTAATATGTGTTATAAAAGACACCTTTGACATAAAATTAAATATTTTATCATTTATAAAGGTTTGCATTTAGTATGCAACTAATGTATTTTAGCATTGCTGCAGAGGCTGAGTCACAGGGTGAGTCAGCAGCCGCTCAGATGAGTCAATATCAGCAACAAGTTGTGCTGAGACAGTTGCTGATATCGTATTATCACCCATTGTTTTATATGAGTTTGATTTATGTTGGTAAAATACCAGTGACAACTTGGATAAAAATATTCAAAGAAATAAACTAAAGTTTATAACTATTTCCATTATTTTCCAAATTTAGCAATGATTTTTTTATATAGGTTAGAGAGTTCTATTACCAACTTTAAAAGCTAAAGTTTAAAAGGTTTGCACACAAAGATTAGGCTACTACTTTTATAGTTTCAATTTAAAAGATGATGGTAACGTTCATATTATTATTGTTTTCGTTAAGGTGAATTTAATAATAGTCTTTAGGTGTATTATGTAGTAGAAAAGTAGCTTCTTACCAAGATATTAAAATATATTTAAT